TGTAGGGTAAGACACGGGTAAAAGGTTCAAGAGCGCATATATAGAGCGGTACTTTGAAGTACCGTCAGGATACAAAGGGTTAAATTGAAATATTTTTGTAAGGTGTTGCTATTGGACTTTGTAAAACGCCATTTATCATAATTTATTGGTGCACATAACCTCAAAATAGCAATTGATATAACGAGCGACGAGATTATATTTATATTTGATACTGCATTCGTTATGAATTGCAGCAAGGAGAAAATGTTGCAAAAGCATGTAAATCCATTTGCTTTTGGGGAAAATATTAAGTCTCACAATACGTGAAAATATTGGTTTCGTCGCTTTAAAGATGGTGATTTTAACGTAAGTGATCGTCCGCACCTTGGAACACTATGAAAACTTGAGACTGGCAATTGGGAAGCGTTGTTGAATGAAAACCTGTCCCAAACGGAAGTAGAACTTGCAAAACAGCTTGGAGTTGACTGAACGACAGTTTCAAGGCGACTGCATGAAATGGGAAAAATCCAGAAGCTGAAAAAATGAGTGTCGCAAAAAAAGAAGATTAAAACTTTTGTTTACACCTGATAAATTACATATATCGATAAACACAAATAATATTATAAACACTTGAACAAGTCATATATAAAACTACTGATATTTTAATTGGTAATCAGTGAGATGTTTGCTCTCGTTTACGTTTGCACAGCGTTTATCAACGCTTCGGTTTATTTTGCAAATATATAGTCGAAAATCATCTTCAACATCCAGCCTGTTCCTATATTTATTTTTTGAAGCAACTAAAAATGAAAAACCAACTCCACGCACATAAACGTGTTTCGTCACTTATTTTTGAGAAATTAATCAGTTATTAGAATTCTTGCTGCAAATTATTCAGAAATTAGCAGTTATTGAGTTGGCGGAGCTTGGAGACTTCATAGCGCCCGAAAGCTGCGCGCTTCAGATTGAGAACCGCTGCGCAGCGTATAAACCACAATTACCGTATACTGTACTTTGTAAATTTCACTCTGTGACATTTCATTGGAATAGCAGGGCATTGGAACAGCCGAGTGGCTCGAATTCGAGTGATTTTCCACTCGTGCAGAGCGAACGCTGCACTCTGCATCGCTGAGTGAATATTTTCACTCGGAAGTGAAGATTGAATCTAACCACCACCACGGAACAAGTTCACGCACGATCGATCGAAACATTCACTCGTTCAACGGGGATCGTCTGTTCCAGTGATGGACGATCTCGATTCGATTTTCAGAAAACCGATCTCGAAAAACTGACTTTTAAATCAACTCTTTCAAACGTTGACCGCTACATTCTTTATCGCCGAATTCTTTATCAAACGAGACAAGATCGATGAATAAATGTATCAACAGGTCGAAACGCAACTCGCTGTCGAAAAGGATCATTCGCACGAAGAATCCGACTTGGAAGAAATCAGTTTTTATGGGGAAAAAGATCGCCCGTCGCTGCCCATATAGCACACAAAGTTGAAAAAACGTTACTACAATATTGTGCAGCAACGTTGCAGCAATATTGCTGCAACCTCTGTGCTATATGGGTGCTCTCGAGCGCGGCACTCGCTCCTGCGATTTCGTGGCTGCCGCTTCCAGTGAATTCCCGCTCGTTCGGAGCGAGAGGAGTTTCACTCCTCAAAATTCCGAGTATACCACGGGGAGTCGACTGAAGACTGGATTAATCGGGGATACCTGTACGCTATCATTATCGCCGTTATCCGCGAACGCACCTGCCGGGATTGCGTTGCTTTTTCTCGCTTCTTTTTTGCGAGGCACACACTTACGGCCGAGGGCCACATTCGCCGCGCGCGCGGTGATTCCGAATCGACATCATCGCAGCGCGGCTCCGAGTTTCACCGCGATTATAAAGGGAACGATTAACTAACTCGGCGAAGCGGCGGTCTTCCGCGCCTCGCTCGGGCCTCCGCGGAATTTCTGTTAGGCAGGCACGCCTCATTAAGCCGACACAGAGTCCGCTAATTGTTATCGCGGCGGCGGTGTGCCGTTACACGTCGTAACGTAACGTCAACGTAACGGGCGGCCGCGCCAGCCGAAACCGCACCACCATCGCGAGAAAGTCGCGCGTTCTTTCTTCTTGCTTTCTCTCTACGCGGCTGTTACGTCACGAGGAGTGGCCGCGGTGTCGTCGCGTGTGCGTGCGCGCGCGAACGTGCTGCGTGCGTGCGTGTGTGCGTGCGTGCATGTGCGCATGCGTGCGTATGGTGTCACGGTGACCGCCGTCATTCCTCCCGATACGTCATCGATCTTTATTAAAATAGGACGCCGTCCGCGATCGCATTGACCGAGACGGCCCGGCCGGCAACAAGTGCATCGTCGCCACGGCATGTGCACTTTGCGTTTCTGCGTTACGTAAACGGTTACTCGCGCGGGTACCGGGTAGCGTGAACTCGGCATCCGGGTGCGAAGCGAATAGTTCAGGATGCCCTGTTCGGGACGCATGGCGAACGTCGCGAGCTTGCCCTTTTCATCACCCGGGCTCCGTTTGCCTTACGAGCGCCATTATGTACACGCAGAAAACTATTCGCTTCGTATAACTGAATTTCAGTTGCGACAACTGAGGAACTTTCCGTTCCTCAGGAATCGATTGAGAATTCACCTTGTAACACGAGAGAAATCCCGTCTCAGGAGAGGTTTCTGTTGTCTCAGAAATATATTGTCACCTGAGCCGAGTATTACCCCGTACATACAGCACAGACGGTTGCAGCAACATTGCTGCAACGTTACAACGTTGCACACAGACACACACATACACATACGTAAAATAAGTAAAAAAAAATATATGTACGTATTTGATGATTTTGAAATTTCCAAAGATCAACAAGTTAGAAAGTTAAGGCGCTATTGTAACAATATATTCCTGAAACTAAATAGAGTAAAAAAATTTAGTACCTCCGCTATAATAAACAATTGGGGTTTCCATTTAAGAAAAATGATGATCAATGAATATTTTGAAAGTGGCGCCATCTGTAAACAAAATGATATCGCTCATCTCATGTCTTTCAAACTAAACAACTTTTGTCTGAAACGTTTTTCCATACCTTTTATATTTCTCGAGATATTTGAGTGGATAAACTGAAATAAGCCGCTCTATATATGTGTATGTATGCAATGTTGCAACATTGCAGCAATGTTGCTGCAATCGTCTGTGCTGTATGTACAATATTGTCGAAGGTGCAAGTTTCATTCTTCACACGAATAAACGTGTGTACGTAAGTGAAGGGTAAAACACTTGCGGAGTTGAAAATCACGTCATTGACAGCGTTATACAACTTCTTCAAACGAATTTTTTCTGTCGCGGTGACTGAAATTTCATTTCTCTTTAGATATAAGATATAGTTCCTTTTGTGAGAGCAGTCGAATACTCTGCTGCGGTAACTATATTTTCAAGCCCGAGAATTTTATTTTCTTCAATTGAAAGACTCGGACGGTTCTTCGGTTTGTAAAACAGAATTTTTCTGTTACTGTGACCGAACCTCATGAAACAAAAAATTTCTAGTTGTCACCGCAGAATACTTTCCTCTATATGTGAAAAACGGCAAGGCCCGGTTGCACTAATAATATTTTAGTTTTAAGCAAGACTTAAACATAACCCATACAGCACAAAAAGTTGCAGCAATGTTGCTGCAACTTTTCTGCTGTATGGGAAGTTTATCTCTATCTTTCTTTCTAGTTGAAGAAAGACGAGCATATATTTAAATCTCACTTGAAATCGAAATAATATTGGCGTAATCGAACCTACACACAATCGAAGACACAAGCGGTAAGGAAATCGATTAGTCAAAATTGTCAATATTCTTCCTATGGCCCAAAAATATTCAACTATGTTGTTTCACTTGCTTTTATATTTCTATACAGCACAAAAATTGCAGCCACATTGCTGCAACGTTGCTGCAATATTGCAATGTTGCAGCAACTTTTGTACTGTATGGGATTGCTCGCGTCTTAAAGCTTAAGTTTTTCTGCGTGTCCGGGTCTCAACATTGTTTCAGTTTGACAATCAGAAAGATATGCTGCTCAATATCGCGATCCGAGTAAGCGACAATTGTTAGCGTCTCGCAGTCGTTGACAGAGTGCACCAAGAAACAGCAAAGAAGAAAAATGAAACTCATTCAGCAAGCTGGCACTGCTAGCATTATTTTCATACATGTGTGTGTATGTGTGTGTGTGTGTGGTTACTATATTCATAAATATTATATCGTTTATTCTCCCTATTCGCGCCTATTATCAGAGTTGTGCGCAAAGAAGCCAAGTGAATGGACGTTTCTTACTCGCATCGATCATCGATTACGTCTTTGATCACTGAGAGGGTTCATTGACTTTCGCGGACACTTTTTATATCGCGGCTGTACGCGAATGTTTGTTTCATCGAGAGAACGATTTTATCGCGCGCCTTGAATAGTGCCGATGAATAATTACGTGTCGCTGGCGAGTCGTCGTAGATTTCGACGTTCGCTTCGACTTTCCTGGGCCATCTTTTCACGAGATCCTCAGTACCGTTAACTCCCGTGAGAGCACGCGCGCGCGACGAAGAAGATGCTTTCTCTCTTCTATTTATAATTATAAATTAACGGAAAACTGGTTGTGAAAGGGAGAAAGTATTACGCGCGCATGGTCGTTAAAAAATATCTGTATAATTATGACGCTCTACGTGAGCGAAAACGATTTTCGATTGTCTTTCGAGGCGAGACTGCATCGCCGCGCGGGGCGGACCGGTTCGCCTGCGGGAAATGCACTTACGGTGTTACGCTTTAATCGCGCGTTTCCTGACTGACCGGCAACGCGGAAAAGCCGAAAAGCGCGGCCGAAATCGCGATCGCCGGCACGAGAAATCGCTGAAAGTCGCCGGCGAACGCGCCGAGCGAATTAATATTACCCGGCGCGGCACTCTCACTGAGCGACACGCGCGCGCACGCGCATGCGCCGTGGAGAACGATGAATTATTAATGCGACGCATCTGTTTTTCCGTTACAGGAGGTGCGAGCGACGTCGCTGCTTCTCCTCCTGGGGATTCTACTCGCGACGATACAAAATGGTAAGACTTTCACGACTCGCCGCGCAAAAGCGCAAGTATATGGTCTCTCTCCCGCTAGCGGGGGAAACGATTAAAATTCTCGCTCGCTGAATCTAGGCTGTCCGGCTCTCCGCGAACAGGACATGCGTGTCCGGCTCTCCTGAGGTCTCTCGCGAATCCATCGATTCACACTCGCGTTTTTCCTCGGCGAAAACTCCATTGAACTCGTTCGCGTTTGCCTTCTCTTCCTCCCCCCCCCTCTCCCTCTCTCTCACTCTCTCTCTCTCTCTCTCTCTCTCTGTTTTTCTCTCGCCGTTCCCATGTATATCAGGTCATCCCGTAAGTGTAACATCGTTTCTCGAAACTAACACTTTCAGTGTAAAGCATTGATACCTACATTTACGCTTGAGCTCGATGTAGACTACAAAGGGAATACCGTTTCAAAGGCACACAGGGGAAAGTTTGTGTACACACGCGTCGTCTAAATGCGCGAGATATCTATGTTCGCTGAGGAAAGTAAGTCACGAAACATCACTTGTGCGATGACCTGTTACAGCGGACTGGGGGGGCAGCAACTATTCGAACACCTCCGAAATACGAGAGTGGGAGGGAAAATGATCCCACAGAAGTTGCACAGTACCGGAGTCGCGGTCGTCCTTCGGTTTCTACTTTATCTCAATGGCAAGATGGCGATAGTCAGGGTGGTAATGGTCGCTTCGCGTTACCTCAGTCCTAACAGTAAAAATCGCTCGTGGCGATTAGGGGGAGCCTGGGATACAAGTGGGCACGTTCGAGATTAAACGAGGAGTGAGGTCGTTAATGCCTCCATACCTCCGAATTCGAGCAAACTACCGTGTGACAGGGCCGAGGCACCGGGCGACCAAGGAGCGACGCTTATGGGTCTTAAAAATAAATTATAGCCCGAGATAAATCTCTCGGAGGGAGCGCTTACACGGCCGCCAAAGTAAACCCGCCTTGCGAAACGAACTGTAAAGCGGCACTTAACTGTCGGATCCCCGGCGTTTAACCGCCGCGCTGCACCCTCACGGATCTCACGGCGATAATCGTTTCCGCGCGGCGCGATCGCGAGAGAGCAATCCCGCGACCGTAATAAGTAAGAACGAAATCGGAGTGGGACTGCTCTCGACTGCTGCGAGATGAAAAAGGAGAGCGGGCCCTCTCTCTCTCTCTCTCTCTCTCTCTCTTTCTCTCTCTCTCTATCTATCTATCTATCTCTCTCTCTCTCTCTCTCTCTTGCTCCCTCTCGCTCTCGGATCGCTCGTAAATCGCCGGTTTTTCCGGCTGACCGGACAAACGGTCGCGTTTCCCGCAAGAATCCCGTAGAAAATAGCGACAGTCTCTCGCCGAGCTGTCAGCCAAAGTCGAGCACGACTTCGGCACTTCGCGGTTTTCCTCAAAACACTCAGTCGAGTAATGCCCGGTTTCTTCACACCTCCATCTAGCTATCTTCCAGATAAAGATATCCATCAGATAACTAAAAATTCGTTTTCTTCACTGAAACCTCTGGTTACGTATCTAACAAATAGCTTATTCCTCACACTAGCTACTAGCTTTTGACACACACAAAATGTACTAGAAATTTATTATAAATCACCATGTTCTGCTAGCGACATATTCTTTTCCGGGCTAATATTAACCAATTAAATTAATTTTCACAGTATTAACAATCGGTCTTCAATTGCATGTAATAATTCGAGCACTGTATCCTTTTTCAAATGAAATCGTTCGAAAAATTCTGTGTCACCCCACACTTGAAAATTGTTTGTTTTATTTCTTATTGTATAGGGCCTTCTTTCCACAAATTCCTCTCATCATCATCAGATACAAAAATATTAATATTCATGAGTAACAAATCCATGTTGTGTTTTTCATAAAAACAGCAACAGCAACAGCAGATTACGTATTATTGTAATTTTTAGGTTATGTCGGGGGTTGATGTCAGATTGAAATCCATATCTGCCAGATATCCGTTACCTCAGGTACCATATAAGTTTATCTGCTGGATACAAACTTTCCAAAGGTGAAGGAAACCGATTCTGGCAGATATCTCATGGATAAAGTTACCGACAACTTATCTAGAGGAGAAGAAATTGGGCATTAGGCGAGTTCCTAGTATTTCTCGCTCTCTCGTCACTACGCGGATGAACGACCGACACGTCGCACGTTTAAGACAAACGGTCGCTCCAGCGGCCGTTCATCTCACTCTGGAGAACTACTCATTGGAACAGTGATGACTGAGCGAGTACTCCCAGACGCACATATTTATATAATGGACGGCAATTTTTAGATTACGGCGGCGTCACTTTCAGCGAGCGCTCGCCGCGAGAGAGTAAAGATTCCTCTCGGGGAACTTGTCGTTCCCACAAATGGCCGAAGAATCGAGGAAGAAGCGACGGCATATTCCTCCACAATGGACGATCAGCGCGGAGCGAGAGAAAGAGATTGCCGTATATAAGCAGGCTTTTAATAAGGCTTTCCACTTCGTGATCGCTGAGGTGTGCGAGAACGAGATTTTTCCGCCGTGTCCTACGGCGATCCGGAAAAACGCGCGATCACGAGAGCGAGCGCGGATCGCGCGGGCCTCTTACTCGATATTATCTGTTCTGTTATGCGCGCGGCTTTATAATGCGGCTATACGCCGCACCGCGCACCGTTCGTGTATATAACCGGCGATACGTGGCGTGGGACCTATCGCGAATGCACCTCGTGGGCGTAGCGGTGAAAGAGAATCTCGAGCGTTCCCGCATCGGCAATCTTTGCCGGCCGCCAGGTCGACGGAGAAGTGTGTCTGTTAACCGCGTTAACGAAATCAAGGCAATTCAGCTCGCGCGCACACGCTGCTCCGGAATCCCCGATTCGCCTTGACAGACACGTTTGGGGTATTGTCAGATTTATAAGTTGGTAGGGAAGGACGCGCGCGCGCGCGGCTGAAAATTTTGATGAACAAGAAAAGGGATGGTCGTCAGCTGGAATGCGTCTGTCGCACAGACTTTTATAGTATAACTAGACTGCTAACTCCGACTCAGTACATGACTCCGAAAAATATCTACCGTTCTGGTGGTCCGACATTCACGTCTGATTGGTTGAATCAAAACACATTTCTTCTAATTGGATGGGCCATATTGCTTATGTAGCCCCTCTCCTTGTGGACTACCAATTTCACGTATGCGTAGATGTTTGATTCCCTTATCTAATACATACTTTTTGGGGTCAATTTTGTGCTACAGTATACAAGGGAGTTAGCAGTCTAGTTATACTATAGAAAATCTGTCGTCTTTTCGGACGTCAATAGGAAGTTTTTGCAATACCGTCTCTCAGATACGGTAAACGTTGATCGTGAATGCTATTGATCGCGTACATTGCGACGTTATTTCTGAGCGAATAATGGTATTGCAAAAATTCCTTAATTTTCAATTGCATATATAGGGGCCATTGCACACAAAATGACATAGATGCGTATACATAGAATAAGATTGTCTCGACCAATGAGCGTCTAGGAAACATGTCTCTTCCCCATTCCTTTTATAAAAAAAATGGTTCGTACAAAAGTTCTTTGACCTCATAGGAGACATCAGATGGCGATATCAATTTATTTGCAGATGGCGCCACGTTCGAGAAATTCACTAACGATCATTTTTTTTAAATAGAAATCGATTTTTTTTTCTTAATAAAAGCTATAGCTCTCGTCGAGACAAATGGATGCGAGAGAAGAAGAAAGAAAAAATCATTGGCTGGAATACGTCTGCTATTTTTTCGTACTTTGGGACAAATTATTGCACATGTTTTGCACTACTATGACTCGTAGTAGTGGTAGAAAAGAACAAATAGCGTTCTTGGCAGGATATGAAAGTCTTGGCTAGAAAGAAGAACAATCCTTCGCCGAGGAAGACATCTGGCAATCCTAGACACGTCTCGAAATGTCGCGTGTCGCCTCTCCTTGTGTCGCACAGTGTTCGAAATCTAGAAAAAAAATAAACTAATGTAAAAGTATTAAAATGTATTAAAAAGTATATTAATTAAGTGCAAAAAGACCCAAAACATAATTTGTTGAGAAATTTCGAAGAAGCTTGATTTCAAGCTGTATATTTATACATATCGATATTACGAAAAGTAATAATAAAAAGTACACCGAGACTTTCGGCCAGCTTCTTCCAGATTTCAAGCACTGTGTCGCCGAGTCGCGTCCGAGTTCCGTCCATCGCGTAATTCAATTCTATGAGACACCGGTCGTCGGATCAGAGGAGATATTTGGAAAATCGAGACGTCGCTTAGGTATCTTTACGGATGTTTTTCTCGCCGACGAAATTGGCAGCCGGCGATCTCGAGGCTGCTCGCTGGCGGGGATATTCGCCGACCTCGTCGAATTGTCGCGCGTTTCTGGTCAGGGTCAACACCGGCCTTAATTCGCAGGCACCGCTCGTATTGTTCCTGCAGGCCGTCTCGTTCGGCCTCGTTCCACGCTCGATCGGTGAAAGCACGTAGTGCGAGTAATTCGCGAGTCGAAAGTATGCGCTCCGCTCAGCATGGCTCAGCTCAGCTTGGCTCGGCTCGCCATGGCGTGCCGTCAAAGTCAGCCTTTGCGCGCTCGATTACGCGCGTGCGAAGCGGGCCAACGAGATGCATACCGTCACACACGGATGCGTATTTGTTTGTATGTGTGCATGCATTAGGCCAATTAAACACTCGGATGAGATAACGGAGAAACAATATCCCCCTCGCGTAACGCTATCGCTCTTGCGAGACTATTTTCGATCGTATTACGTGGCGCTGCGGCTCGCCATTACGTCGGCGAGACGATCCGAAGAAAGTTGCATTATCGGATTGTGCAGTATGAAATTATTCGCGCGAAATATCGCAATTCTATTCGACCGCCCGCGTAACTATGACCATAGCTCAGCGTTGCGAGACGCCGTGGGAGGGAAGGTCGGTCCCCCGTGAATTCTACAAATGGAAATCTAAGTCCGGTATTCACAGTCAGGTCTCATATTTAAGATTGTCTTAAGTTCACTTTCTAATACTCCGTAGCCAATGAAATAATTTGTACATCTGAAGATGAACTTAAAACGGTCTTAAATACGGGATGTCTGAAAACATACGATTATCTTTCGGGGATATGAAAGAGAGTGAAATTCTGAGTCGAAAGTTCTTCTTCCATTTTTTCTTCCGACCATTAATAACAAAGTTATTAACGAAGAAAGTCGACCAATAGCGCACGATTATCGCGCAGTGCCGTACACTGGCACGGAACTCCGCCCTATTAGCACCGAAATTTGTCTTTATCTGATAATATCAAATAGCTCATTTATCATCCGTTTGATGAGCTAATTGATTTATCATCATTTTTAATCAATACAAAAACATAAAGAAACGATTGAAAACAAGTTAAAAAGTAGAAATTTTATTAAATGTTATTTTAAATGATAAAGACCAATGGTTTTTCAGTGGAAAAAGATCGAATTCTTACAGCGCCTGTTCAAACGTTGTCCGCAAAAACTATATAATGTGTATTCCATGTATTCTTTTATAATGTGTTAATTCGTCACAATAAATTCTCGTTTTATCTTTTATTTTGCTTTTCCCATGTTTACGTTTTCATCTTCGATGTCTCGCGAATTGCGAAACGGCTGACAGAGTTGTTGTTACTTCTTGCACGAGATACTCTTTAGTAGTGGTTCCTCAATTCTAAACTCAATGAGATTCAAAACATAAGCAACGAACTGTGAAGACAAAGGAAGAAGTGAGATATTTTTCGACTTTTTAACCTCATTAAATGGATAATAAATTAGTTATTTGATATCATCAAATAAAAACAAATTTCGGCGTCAGCGCAGGGCGGAGTCCCGCGCCAGTGTACGACACTGCGCAACAGTCGTGCGCGGCACGCCATTGGTCAACTTTCCTCGTTAATAACATTGTTATTAATGAACGGAGGAAAAAATGGAAGAGGGACTTTCGACTCAGAATTTCACTCTCTTTCACATCCCCAAAGAATAATCGTGCATTTTGAGACACTCTATATAAGATCCGACTATGAATACCAGCCTAAAGCGGCGTGTAAAATCCAGCATCTCATTTATTTTGCGTAGTGACGATATTTCGAGGTGAACCAAGTTTCGCACAAATATTTCAGTATCGAGTTTCCAACGGAGATGTATGCGGACGAATCTTACCGATTTGACTTCTGCAATCCGGAGATCGCTGCACGAAAGGCGAAACGCCGTATTTTCCGTTACGGACTCGCACGCATTTGCGAAGAGCCGCACAGAGATTTCGCGACGCGAGCGTCCATGTTTTCGGAGCCGATCGGAACAGCACCTGTTGCGCCGCGCGCACCGGAACGGCCGATGCGGCGCCTATTTCTTTGCACACGGACGAAAGTTCAATCGCGTTTCAATTTCTCCCGCGGCGGCGTTTTCTCTCACAGCCATCTACGCGTTCTCTCCGCGTTTGGCGCGCGAGTGTGAGTGCTCGGCTTCACGTATGCCCCGCATACCCACCTGTGTTTCTCGCCAGGCAGCCATAAGTGCGTATGTCGTGTATACATGACACGCACACCACGCGCGAATCTGCACGCGTCCGGCAAGCGTGCATTAATTTGCGTTTCACGGCAGTGAAAATGGCGGAAAATCGCCGCCACGCGCCATCGAGAGACTGATTTTTCGCAACTCATCGCCTGCGACTGACACAATGTCCTCCCCCCCACCCCACTTTACTCGAAATAAGGAGAAATCAAGAAGAAAACCAACAAGAAAACAACCAACTTTTTTGTGTATGAGGGAGAGTGTATGAGAAGAAGAGTATAAGACCCACCGAAAAAAAATTATTTCAGAACAAGCGGAATCATTTAAATTTTAGAGGATTTTATTCTTATATATGGCCTCAAGAGGATTCCTTTAAAATTAAAAGGAAAATATTATTAACACATTATTCTTAAAGTTAGAGGAATTATATGTTATATGTATAATGCAAATCTTATTGATTTTAATATAAATTTCCTCTTATACACACAGATTATTTAATCTTCCTTTTAAGAGGATTATTATTTATTCTTACTGTACTTTATTCTTACTGATTATACATTCCTTATTAGGGAAAGGAGAGAAAATTATTATGAAACTGTCTGGAAAAAATTCTAGTTAAGTTTTTTTTTACTTTCTGTTGGTAAAGTAGAGAAAACATAAATTTGTAATTTTAAGTACTCTAAATGGCATTTAATGTAGTACGCAGCGCGATATGATAAATGGATATACAGGGTGTCCTATTTTAAATCCCCCAGACAAATATCTCGAAAAATATGGAAGATACGGAAAAATATTTCAGACAAAAGTTGCCTGAAGTTGCACCCTGATTTTTGTTAATTTGATGATTTTGAAATTTCTAAAAGTCGATAAGTTAACAAAAGTTAGGGCACTATTGTAACAATATATTCTTGAAACCAAATAGAGTAAAAAAGTCTAGTACTATTTTTTCTTCCGACAAATAGTTAGCGAGATATCGTAAGTTAAATATTGAAAAAGTTACCAAGTTTTCCTTAAATATCTCAAAAGATATTAAGTAATTAAGAAATGTTTCAGATAAAAATTACTCAAATTAATTGGTAGAAAAAGATGGTGTAGTAAGAAATTGAGGTTTCCATTTAAGAAAAGTAATGATAAGTGAATATCTCGAAAATGGCGCCATCTATAAACAAATTGATATAGTTGTTTTATGTCCCCTTGAAACCATACCAAACTTTTGTCTGAAACATTTTTCTGTATCTTCTATATTTTTCGAGATATTTGCCTGGGGGATTTAAAATGGGACACCTTGTATGTATGTACTTACGCTGAAATATGGGCTAGTATGTCTTTAAGTTAAGTTTCCCCAAAGATCCTTCAACTTCGTTCATAACGAAATAACTGGGAAAAACAACGCAAACTAAATGACGATCTCTCTTCTTTTTCCCTTTGCTCCAGACGTTGTCCATAAAATAAATGTGACGACGATCGTCATATGCATAGAGAGAGAGAGAGAGAGAGAGAGAGAGAGAGAGAGAGAGAGAGAGAGAGAGAGAGAGAGAGAGAGAGAATCTAGAGCAGGGATCCCAATCTTTTTTGTATTTCGCACTTCTAAAAATTTATTAATGAACCTTCGCACCCTCTAAAAAAAAAATTATTCGTATGTTTTATGGTAAAAATTAGTTGTTAGAGTTTTAAAGTAAGAAGTTAATTTATAATAATTTATTATTACATAGTATTGTTTAGAAATTAACTATCATTTTAATATTATAAAATTATTATCCATGATATCAAACTTCGCATAGTGATACGTAATGAATATATATGTACGGATACGTATAAAATATATAATTTTAATAACTTTTTTTAAATTTTTAATTTGATTTTTAATTTGATAGTAAAAATGCCGGATTATTCCAGAATTCATCTTAATCGCAATATTAATTGCAATCACTTTTCCTCGCACCCCCAAGAAGTTTTTCCATACCCCTAGAGGGTGTGAGCATCTCCGATTGGGAATCCCTGGTCTAGAGACAAAAAAATAGGAAGACGGCACTCCGAAGAGTCGTGCCGACAAGAAAAGCATCCTCCTCTCGCGCTCATTAGTGCACTCTCGTCTTGCAGGAATCGCCGAGCGCAGGATCGTCTGCTACTACACGAACTGGTCGGTGTACCGGCCTGGCACAGCCAAGTTCTCACCGCAGAACATCAATCCGTACCTGTGCACTCACCTGATCTACGCGTTCGGCGGCTTCACGAAGGACAACGCGCTGAAACCGTTCGACAAGTACCAAGACATCGAGAAAGGTGAGACGTACGTAGAAGAACGACACGCGCGCGACATTTGTCGTGCGTTGCTTCGATTTATCTCCTCCGTCCGCTCCGACCACCCGAGCCGTCTCGACCACGCGAGGTATTCGCGGTTGCGTCGTCGTCGCACCGTGCGACTCCGGCCGAGGAACGTCATCTTCGGCTGATATTTAACTTTCACTCGCGCCGATTAACACGCTCGCGCGCTCGCCCGCTCATGCGACAGGTGGCTACGCGAAGTTCACCGGCCTCAAGACTTACAACAAGAACCTGAAGACGATGCTGGCCATCGGCGGCTGGAACGAGGGCTCCAGCCGATTCTCGCCGATGGTGGCGGATCCGGCGAAGCGACGGGAGTTCGTGAAGAACACCGTCAAGTTTCTCAGGCAGAATCACTTCGACGGCCTCGATCTCGACTGGGAGTATCCGGCCTTCAGGGACGGCGGGAAGCCGCGAGATAAGGACAATTACGCCAACCTCGTGCAGGTACGTGCGCCGAATACGCGGCGTTTATCGCCGATAAACGACAGGGAACACGCAGATTTCCCTACTCGCGCCGAAGATCTCGCCGCGGGAAGCACGACCGGCGGCGGAAACGCGGATGGGAAACCGATTGCGCCACTTGGCTCTAATCGGGGAAGCGAATCGCTCGCGAGTAACTCGAGTGAGAAGTGACTAATTGCGAGTCGCTGCTACAAAGCGCGCGCCTCCTCTGATAGGAATCAAAACGCGAAGGAAAGCGGCGGCTTAATAACAGCGCGCGGCTGCTTCCGTCGTATCAGAGAACGACGCGGCGCGTTATCGTCGATCGCGACGCCGCGCGTAAACGTCGCTGATCAACGTCGATCGTTGATTGCGGAACTTCGACAGGAACTTCGCGACGAGTTTGAGCGGGAGGCCTCGAAGACCGGCAGACCGCGCCTGCTGTTGTCGATGGCGATGCCGGCCGGCATCGAGTACATAGACAAAGGTTACGACGTGCCCAGACTCAACGACTACCTGGACTTCGTCAATCTGCTGTCCTACGACTATCACTCGGCGTACGAGCCCGCTGTCAATCATCACTCGCCGCTGTACCCGTTGGAAGAGGACAACGAGTACAATTACGACGCCGAGTTGACTATCGTGAGTGCCTTTCTCGTGCCTCTGTCGCGTCGGTATTCGAGTATTATTAAACCAGTATGACAGACTATGGATTGGGATTGACATTGGATTGAAATTTGACCAATTGAGAAAAAGAAAATAATCTCAAATATAGCAAATTTAGCCCTGATTGGTTAAATTTCAATCCAATACTCAACCCCAATCCATAGTCTGATACGGGCTTTAAGATAAGTAGATAGATAGGATAGATGGACATAGTTTTTTTAATTTTTAATTGGAAATGATCAACAACATATTAACACACTCAGTAGAGGGTAATGTTTAAGGTACAGAAGAATTTTTGTGAAAAGAATTCATGGACATCAATAATAATTATTAAAAATATTCTGTGAAGGATAGATGATCAGGTGTGTCCGGGTTAAGATGGTCGTGAAGGGATAGTTGGGCAGGCCTATAATAATGTAGAAATTTGTTTATCTTTACTTATTTTTTAGTACTTTACATCATTTTATTAATTATTAACCTTTTTATTAATCCTTTTATTAATTATTAATAAAATAAAACATTTCCACAAGTTTCTTATAGAAACCAAGGACAACATTGGAGAAAAGGTTGAAAAGTGGCAGTACAGAAAAAGGCCCTATGGGAAAACATTGTTTATTAAAGAGAGAGAAGAGAAAGAGAGATCTATTCGACATCTTTAAACGAAACAAGAAGTTGTAATGTACTGAAAATAAAATGTACTGAAGTTTTTAATGTTAGGTACCCAAGGAAAAATGATAGTCGAATAGATATCGGATCGACGTCTTATATATGTCTAAAACATCTAGAAAACGTTGATCCGATGTCCATTGCTTGCTATTTCTCACTAAATAGGCTGCCCATCTAACCCTGATAAAAATGAACCCTAGTAACATATACATTGTTAAGCCAATATTGGCTACAAATTGGGCTCCCAATATTGGCCAATGTAACCTTAATGTAAGTCAATATTGGTATAACAATGCTATGCAATATTGGCGATCTTGTAATTTGATGTCTAACCAATAGTGGCTGCATATTGGGATACATTGGGCCAATGTAACCCCAGTGTAAGTCAATATTAGTATAACAATACTATGCAATATTGACGATATATTATAATTTAATGTCTAACCAATATTGGCTGCATATTGGGACACATTGGACCAATGTAACTCTAATTTATGTTATCGTATCCAATGTAACGCCAATGAAGTGTGCTACTAGAGAACCATCTATCCCGTTTGGAAAGTTCGCGTAAAGATGTGTATACCGCGTGAAATGTAATCTCGGTGATGAATTTTGAGGTTAAGTACGCAAATACGATATTTTTTTAGTCTTTAGATAGTTTTTTTAGTTTTTTTAGTTAAGCCCAAGTCTAACTCAAAATAAACCGTATTCGCAAGATACTTTTCCGACATATCAAACATTTTGGAGGTTAATAGAAACATAAAACATTTATTTACTCACGATAAGTGTTTTTATACATCAGGAAAAGACACGCCTACTCGTAGTAGATCCAACTCACAACTGACTGATCAACGCTGACGCCTAGCATATATTAACAAAATTATAGCAATTGACTATCTATCCCCTATGTCCATCTATCCCAGACTTACCCTATTATTATTATTATTACTTTGAGGGAACTGGTAATTATGATATTATGTTCGAGTAAATTTGATTGCGCAATATACACCAGCGAGCGATCGTTCCAGGACCACACGATCAGCCATCTCCTGGAGAAAGGCGCGTCCGCGGACAAGATCGTTCTTGGAATTCCGACGTATGGCCGATCGTACACCTTATTCAACCAAGACGCGACCGAGCTCGGCTCACCCGCGGACGGCCCGGGCGTCGAAGGAGAGGCCACTCGGGAGAAAGGCTACCTCGCCTATTACGAGGTGAGCCTGCGGGGAAACTTCACTTGACGGGGCAGGGTGCTCTTGTGTGTGATTTGTGCGCAATGCGGACTTTTTAACTCGGCAGATTTGTGAGGGCATAACGGACTCTGACGAGTGGGAGGTCATCCAACCGAACCCCAACGCCATGGGACCGTATGCCTTCAAAGGTGACCAGTGGGTCGGCTACGACGACGAGGACATTGTCAAGCTGAAGGCTCGCTACGTGAACGAGAAGAAGCTGGGAGGGATCATGTTCTGGTCAATCGACAATGATGACTTCCGCGGCAAGTGCCACGGCCGGCCTTACCCGCTGATTGAGGCAGCCAAGGAGGCTCTGCTCACGAACAACAGGTAAGTCCTGCCAAGATGAGAATCGCCGTTCATTACTTTAAAAAGATCTAAAAGGCGAGTTTTGTTTCGGTGGAAGATGTCAATTCAGATTCAGGATTTCAAGGCTTTCCATGATCTTGAAAATTAATTCATATGAGTGTGCCAGCTTAGAATGTGAGGTTCTTCATTTTCTTCCCCATGCACTGGCAGGTATCTCGCTGTAATTTAAACATAAAAATGTGATATTTCGTGTTATCACGCGGATCAGAAATACGATCGACAAGATAAAGTCAGTAGACAGCCGGAAGAAGACGCGCAACCAGACTGGCCAGAGCAATTCCCTCTCTCGCAAGTTTACTTCGAGCAGCCGCAGAAGCACCACCACAGCAGCTCCGACCGCGAGGAAACGCGTATCCTCCGCAAGAACCAAATATCGTACGATCACAAGGCCGAAAGCGAGCTACGAAGAGCAAGAGGATCGAGAAGTATCGAGGAGATCCTACGAACCGTCCTCGGATGAGGACATAGAGGGCAGAAACACCGTCAGGGTGACGGAGAAGATCGAGCGGCCGAAAAATCGAAGTCGAAGCAAGACGCGAAGCGGCTCTGCAGGAAGCTCTCGTAGGAAGCAATCAAGACGCAAAGGACAGACCAAGGCCGACGACGGCGAGTCTTTGAGCAACAAGCTAACGACTCCCGAACCACCGACCACTCCTGACCCAGGAACTGGTAAGTTCTAAGGATGAGAACTATAAAGAGACATCAACTGTTCACTTGGAACTCTTCTAGAAAAGTATTGCAGAGGCTGAAATAAATTGGTCAGTAATGGATTATTCGTTGCTCAGTGATTTATCACTGGCCATTTTATCATTGCCAGTAATACTTTTCCGCTAAGAAAGCTCAACTTGGTTGGTTACTCAAAGAGTCGAAAATTTGAGAAGTTAAACTATGAAGGGCTGAAAGAGAGGTATCTTTATGCTAGATGGAACTGAAGATTTTTGGTATTCATTTTTACAGACTTCAAGTGCGAAGACGAAGGCTTCTTCTCGCATCCCCGAGATTGCAAGAAGTATTTCTGGTGTCTGGATAGTGGTCCAGGCGGGCTAGGCGTGGTTGCGCATCAGTTTACCTGTCCCTCAGGTAAACACGAGGAAAGATCGCATTCTTACAAAGTAAAACTCTAGCTCGTCTCTAACGCCTCTCTCTCGATGACTCGGTTGGCAGGCTTGGTATTCAACAAGGCGGCGGACTCCTGCGATTACCCGCGCAACGTCATTTGCCCCAAGTCGAAGACGTCCGTCGTCTCGACCACCAGGTCACCCATTACGGCCGCGACCAGCCGAACAACTTACTTGCACAGCACGACAACCGCGACAGCGGAAGCGGAGGAGGAGCAAGAGGAAGAGTATTCGGAGGAAGATTACGAGGATGACGAGGGTGAGATCGAAGAGAGCGAAGAAAAGGAGGTGAAGGAGGAGCCGAGAAGCACCACGACGGCGAAGCCGCTCGTGTATAAAACGCTCACTAGAAACAGACTGAGTACGACCACAACATCGAGACCGAGCGAGCAGGAAAAAGCTGTCAATAACGAGGATGAGGAGGATCCACGGGTGATCAAGGAGCTGATCGATCTTATCAAGAAAGCAGGCGAGTATTTTGAATATTTCTTTACGCTACTCTTCTTACGAAACGTTCAAGCTCGCCCAGGTCCTTTTTCTCATAAATTAATAATTGGACATTATTTTTGTTTCTATAAAATGCATACTTAATGACAAATGAATGTCTCTTTTCGTAAATTTTAGGCGGAATAGAACAGCTGGAGAAACAGTTGTTGCTTCAAGAGAAGAACTCCGATACGACGTCGGGCAGCGTGAGCGTCACTCCGGCTGCGATCAGTCGCAGTTTGTACGAACGCGTGTTGAATCGCCAAGCGAACAAAATCGCCAGTCAACGACCGGTACTGTCGTCTTCGGAGACCAGCTACGTGAATGGACCGGGGAGAGCGCAGTTCGAAGGCTTGGACGATATCCCCGAAGTGAAGAGTCTCAGACGGTCGCAGAAGCATCAGTACGTCACCATCGAGAGGCCCAAGTGAGTTTCCTCAGTCAGTTATTTATTATTGGACACACGCACGATAGTAACCGGTTTCCATCGGCTGATTTCATCAGTTAGCTTCAACTTCGAGTATAATTTAACTTCCTCTTTCTGCTGTAATCTCTGTGAAAAGGCGGTCGAGATGTAAATAAATTTCAGCGACACTGAGATGAAGTCGAGTGTCCTCTCATGACGTACATTTCGGTGTCAGGTCGAACAGGAAAGAATCTACGTTAGGAAACGAAGACAACGACGACGAGGTGGAAGAGGAAGAGGACGATAACGCCGAGACAGCTTTCACCGAAGAGCAGAGCGTCAGTAATCCATTAGAGGGTAGCTCGTCCACTCAACGAGTGACACCGAATTATGTGAACATCCGACGCGCACGACCTTCCACCACAACGTCCAGGTATAACGATTAGTAGAACGGCATCACAGCTCACACACTTTACATCGTACGTCTCTGACTGCACTTGGGAACTTTCAGGAACGAGAACGACGTGGGAGAGAAGGAAGCGGAAGTCGAGGAGGGAAGACCGACTCGTAGACGACGACCCTCCTTCTTTAGCAAGTAAATATAAACGTATTCGATATCCGTAGTCGATATCTGCGAATTCTGTAATATTGAATATTCTTCATATTCTGTGATAATGTTTTTCAGGCAACAGGACAATGAGGCAAACTCTGAAACGTCCAAACCCTCCCGCGTTCAAGGCTCAGTTTTCAGGTATGGAAGGAAAGAATCGTCTCACAAATGTATCTACGTATAGCAACATTGCAAACAACGTTGCAATGTTGCTACAACATTTTTTCAACTTTGTGTGCTATATGAGTTGGCATTGTACTTTCTAAAACTCCATTCATTATGATTCATTGGTGCACATAACCTTAAAAATAACAGTTTATCCAATGAACGACGAAAAACTTTATATTCGACACTGTATTTAATGTTGCCATTGATGTAGAAAGCTGTCTGCGTTTTGGATTATCATACATAATCCACTTTTCATCACCAGTAATAATTTTCGACAAAAAATCTTTTTTGCGCTATTTGGAAAGCAATAAAACGCACGTACGCAATCGGCGTATATCCATATAGCACACAAAGTTGAAAAAACGTTGCTGCAACGTTGGAACAATATTGCAATGTCGCAACAATATTGCTGCAACTTTTGTGCTGTATGAATAATGCTGTTTTGCGACAATTCATGTGCCAGCCATTTTCCGAACTTCTGAATTTTTCCCATTTCATGCAGTCGCCTTGAAATTGTTGTTTGGTCAACTCCGAGCTATTCTGCAAGTTCTACTTGCGTTTGGAATAGGCTTTCATTCAATAACGCTTCCAACTTGACTTATGCTTTCATGGCGTTCCAAAGCGCAAACGATCAATTACGTCAAAACCACCATCTTTAAAGCGACGAAACCAATGCACAGCATATGCAATATTTACTGTGGGACAAAGTATTTTCCCCAAAAACAGAGCAAATGAATTCACATGCTTTAACGGCATTTTTCCTTATTAGAATTCATATCGAATGCAGTGTTGAATATAATACAGTTCGTCACTCATTCCATCAACAGTTATTTTTAAGCTTATGTGCACCAACGAATCATAATAAATGGCATTTTAGAAAATTCAATACCAACCTTACGAAAACAAAACGATGAAAAAATATTTCAATTTAAGATATTTACATTCGTTATGAATAACTTTAGGAATTCAGAGAAAGATGACGGTTCGGAAGACGCGGATCAATCGGCGGAGAAGGATGACGGCTCGTCAACGACAAAATCTAGGTTTTTACAAACAACGTTCCTCTCTCTCTTTTTTTCTCGACTACTTCGGCAATATCATACAGTTCCTAATGTTCTCCCATGGATCTTCTAGGTACGTCAGCATACAAAGATTCCGCAGCACCACTTCCAAAATCCCCGAGAACTTACCCAGCGTGATAACATCGTTATCGAAGCCTACAAGTGAGACCACTGCAGCTACGAGAGCAGAAGAATACCCCGAAGTGTCCAGTACTCCAGCCAGTACGACGACCTCGTCATCTACAACTGTCACACCGACCACCTCGACGTCTACCGAAGTCATCACCGTCATCAGCGTCGAGTCATCAGACAACCCGTCGTCGAGCGTCAGTCCAGCGATCGACGCTGCAATCTATTCCACCACCACGGAACCGGTGAAGCTGGTGGAAGACTCTGCGACGGAGATCCTGCTGACTACTGTGCCAGCCAGCAGTAGCACGAGCCAGTTGGCGACCACGACCACAGCGAGCAGATCGACGATCGCTGCGGTGTCGCAACCGCGGCCGTTCGGCTTTACCAGGCGAAGACCCGGCGGCTCGTCCGAGACGACGACCCCGTCGAGCAACCAAGCGAGACCCAAGGTGAGTATATCATCGCGAAACCTCACGCGCTCGTCCAGTCCGTACGTGGGGCGAGTTCGGTTAAGGACGAGACCGACTAATGGAGTCCGAGTCGCTGAGGATGAACCGGTGGAACAGTTGGACGCTCCGCGTACGGAAACGCACACGTTCAGGAGCAAGGACACTAGCAGACCGCGCATCCGGGGCTCCAACAGGTACACCCCGCCGACGTATAGGTCGCGAACGGAAGACACATCCGCGAATCCTGTTCCGGGAAGGTACAGAGACCGGAACAGGGCGACCACGACGACCACCAGCAGCACCGCGAGCGGCGGCGCTTTCAGGAGAAGATACCGGCGACCTAGCAGAACAGAATCTACCAAGGTCAACGAGTTGGACGACAGTCCTATAGTCAGGATAACGCAAGGTGGCTCGAAGAGGAACCCGTCGTCCCGCTCGCGGTCCGAGAGCAACGATGACGAAAACAACGAGAAGGTCACGAATATCAGGGTCTTCAGGAGACCCGCCACTGTTAACCGTGACTTATACGACAGAAGCAAGTACACGAAGAAGAGGAACAATGTGGACTCAGAATCGGAGTCGGCACGAAAAGCGAACGACGACTCGAATCAGAAGCGAGCCGTATCTACGGCAACGACGTTGAAGATTGTCGATGAGCAGACCACCGTAGAACTCGACAAAGTCGAAAGAAGCGACTTGTCCAACGTCGTCGATCAGGAGAACGACGTAACGACGCTGGCGACGACACGACTCGAATCCCAAGAGGAAGCCACGACAGTTGATTCTGCTGTTGAGTCCAACACCATCGAGCCATCGACCTACACTGTGCAACCCAACGCGGAGATTGACGTCACCACTGTCTTCAGCGACAAGGTGGACTACACGAGCGATCGACCCGAGGATGCTATCGCCACGACGACCTCGCAGGTCGAGAGCCATGAGTTTAATCCCGACCTGGTGACGATCGTCTCCACCGAACACGCCTCCTTCGACAGTGCATCAGAAGCACCAAGGAGACGGAAAGTCATCTTGAGAAGAAGACCCGTGTCAAGCACAGCCGCCAATGTCGTCGAGGTGGAGGAGGAGGAGCAGAAATCATCGCAGGTAACGCGCAGGCGAAAAGTGATCAGGCGTATACGTCCGATTTCAGACACCTCGTCCCCGATTTCGGCCGAGGTTATTCTTGAGGAAGCACAGGATACCTCGAATCCTTTCCCGGAATCAACGACTCCGATGAATAGCCATAAGGACGCTGAAGAGTCGACCATCACTACCGGTCAATCAACAATCACCAGCCAAATGGAAGACTCCACTTTAGCCGGAATCACAGAAACTACTTTGTCCACTGATGACAACGTCGACGGCTTCGCGAAGGTCATTCTAGAGACACCTGTCCCGGAGTCCACGACGTCCTCTGACGACGAAGGAATCACTGATTTCCTCAGCACTGCTGAGTCCACGATTGACAACGGAGCTGTCGACCAAGAGTACCGCTCAACGAGCGAGATCGGCACAGAAGCCACCACGGTAGAGTCCACGTTGGCGACCGCCTCAGCCGATCTCACGGAAAGCGACGTGTTCTTGGAGGAAACGCTATCGTCCACTGAATCCGATGATTTATCCACTGTTCATACGCAGACAACCTCTACGTTGTCGGAGGCGGACTCATCGCAAGTCACGAAGCCGAGCTTCGAAACGAGGTACGCGCGTAAGAAGTTTATTCGTAAGAATCCGGTGTCGTCCACGGGAAATACGACCAACCGATACCCTCTAGCGCCGTCGTCGGCGGAGACCAATAGCCAAGAGGTTCTTTCGAAGCGCAGGAGTAACCTCTTCATCAGACGCTACCCGGTTTCTTCTACGAGCTTCCCCAGCACACTTCGCGAGGATCTCAAGTATAAGGAAGTGGAAAACGATTCTCGCGACTTGGAAGTCGGGCAAGAAGAACTTACAGAAGATACGACCTCGAGGAGTCATAGCGTGAGCAACGAGCCGGCCTCGACCAGCGCTGTCCTGAGAGATGACTCCGCGGAATTCTGGAGACGCTATACCCCGTCATCGTCGACGGCTTCCAGAAGTTACCTCTTGGATCATATAGAGGACCTCGAGGATCGCGCGACTGGCGCAACGGAAGTCGCAGATCGAAGTACGCATCCCTCGACATTGAGCACTAACCAGAGACTCGAGATTCGCCCGCGATATAAGGTGCCTGTTGTCCTGAAAAGACCCTTTGATCCCGAAGAGGCTCTGTCGCCTAGGCGATTCCATCTGTTGGATTCGGCGCCCGAGGAGTCCGAGGACACACCAGAAACGAAAGATGCTAGGCTCAAGCAGTCGAGTTTCAGACAACCGCGCACGCGTTACAGACTCCTAGAACGCGGTCACGTCAAGGTCGAAGAGGCGACTGTAACGGATACGACACTGCCGGAGTTAACGACTTGGCAGTACTTCCGGACACGCTCGTACTCGAAGCGTCCGTCGATCGCTACCACCACGGAAGCAGCGGTCACGGAAACCCTGATACCAGCCAAGAAGTTCGACTACGCCGCGGACGCAGTTCACAGGAAACAACAGTCGCTGAGGACGACGAAGCCGGCGCTGAGGAGCGGCGACTCGCCCTACGACTCGAACTTGGTGGATTACGCGAGCACGACGACGGCGAAGCCGTTGGTCACCAGGTTGGTCACCTCAGTAGTGGAATCTGGCACTACTGAGAGGCAGAAGATTCTCATCAAGACCAAGTACTCGTCGCTGACGTCCACCACCAGGGTCCCGGCGGATCATTTCCTCTCGACGACCTCGACGTCGTTCTCGGTACCGAGCTCGGGACCGAGCGCCGACGACGACGACGAGTCCGTCAATGAGATCCGTCCAGGAGTCGAGCGTTCTACTTTACCGATCGAGGGCGAATTCAGCAATCGCTACGGTCGCTTCACTACCGAGTCCCACGAGTCCTCGACCATCGAGATCGAGTCGGTGTTCAGCAATTTGATCGCCGACAAGAGCTCCGCGAAGTAACAGCAGCCCGACTCACATCGCGTTACTCGGTCAGCATCGGAAGCCGACGTCGACCGATATGTATATACAGACAGGCAACGCCATGAAAAGTCCCCGAGAGACATAACCTCTCTCTCGGGGTCGATCGCGAGCGCTAGAATTAATAGACGCCTCCGATGATGATGTTTGTTGACCTCAACGTTACTAATGTACATATATACATATATATATATATATAGCGCGCGCGCGAGCATATTAAGAGTATATTTAAGATACCAACGATGGACAATGGACGCTCTTACTAAGTAAAGTTACACGACCACGTGCAGCGCGGAAGGACAAGGACAAGGACTCCCCTGTAACACGCTCTGCTACACTACAACGACCGACCGTATAATCATCGTCTTCACGCATGATCAATCACCACCATCAATAACGACGAATCATAATGAGCACCTCCATCCGCTTACGACTCTCTCTATCTCTTTGCCCCCTCCGGAGGAACCCCTTGACCGAGACCTGTCAGTATAATTTCCGACGACGTAGCCATCACCACCATCACCACCACCACCACCAACCTACCTTAACGACCTTACAACAGGCGCAAGTACGATCATCACTAAACGCCACTTCAACCCAGGGATGATCGCTTATCATCCGCGCATTAACGCAGCCAACGGAACACGCACACGTTCGCGGCGCTTCGACAGACAACTAAAGAAGCCCCGAGGCTCTCCTCTTCGCGCTCCTCCTCATCACCTCCAGAGCTGGCGCAGGCTCGCACACACATACACGCGTAGACACAGAGACAGAACAAGAACGGAGACCGCACGGCAGAGAGAAACAAATAAGACCAAGGGGGGAGAAAAGAAAAGAGAGAGAGAGAGAGAGAGAGAGAGAGAGAGAGAGAGAGAGAGAAAGGGAGACAGAAAAAGCAAAGAGAGAAGAATCCGATAGAAGGATTCCCCGCATTAAAGCGCGCTACCTTGTTCTGCTTTTCAGATCGCCGATTCGGAAGCTATCAGGCTGCCGACCCTGAAGGAGCTGATCGGCTATCCGACGACCTACGATTTTACCGTCACGGCGCCGTCTGTGCTCTCGCACTTGCCGCGTCTCGACGTGGACAACGACATTAGTCGGCAGACCGTCGAGGAGTCCGAGGTCGTCGGCTCGAGCGACTTGTCGGGTCTGTCGAGCGAGAGAGTGCTTGCCGAAGAGACCGGCAACTCGTGGTTGCGGCAAGCCTCCGACAGCAAGGCGAGGCCTCGCGCTACGAAGAGGGAAAATGTCCCCGAAGAACAAGCATCAGTCACGAATGCTGTTCAGGAGGAAGAGAACAAACGAGAGCGGTCTTCGACCGCGATCTATCTGAAGCCGACGACGATGCGCGGCATTCCCCTCGCGAGTCTGACCCCGAGCCCGGTGACACACGGCTTTTACGTCACCAAGAGCGACAATGACCTGCCATCGACCGTGTGGACGGAAAGTCTCACGTCGATTGATGGTCCCACGGGAGAACAGTCCGGGACCACTTCGATGGCTGATATTCCCACGACCTACGAGGTCTCCACCGTCCCTCATAACGATCAGCACGAGCCGGAATCGAGCACCGTCGACTACCTGAACGACATCGTCAACGACGAGGAGGACGAGGAAGACGCTCGTGGAACGAACTTCACCACCTTCAGCTCCCCGACTATTTCTTCGGAGGAGTCCGCAGAGAACAGCGCAGATTACGAAGAGTCTGAAGAAGTGATTCAGGCCGGAGACGGTGTCGCGTTGAAGAGAGGCAAATCACTGCGCCATTTCGGCCGAGGCGCCACGACTCTTCTCAACGCCCCCGTCGCCTCGCCGACGACGCCCACGAGGCGAGCTATTGCTCTCGCTGTCAGCAGATATAACGACCTCACCACCCCCCTGTGGACCGGGAGACGCATAGTGGGCAAGAAACGTGTCAGGACCACCGTCTCGCCCATCAAAGACGCCATTAAGCGAACCGAAGGCGGCTTCGTACATAGTACGGCGAGTGTCTTCGGGACTGCTTCTCCCGCGATCCCCTCGATGTCGATCGCGACGACATGGAAACTTGGTGCGATCCCGACGACTTCTACGGTCGCGCTCGAACGCGCGACATCCCCCGAAACTTCGAATGTGTATGATCAGCCCACAGACTCTGCCAACAGAGAGACCGAAAACTCGACAAGTCGCACGGCCACGGAGACGACGATGACGCTGACTACCGAGAGCGACTTCCCGGTCGCGAACATGTCACCGGATGACCTCGTCGAATACCTCGTGTCCAAGGCCACGAGCGACTCTGCGAGCGTAACGACGATCGTCGCAGGCGACACTTCCGTGACCGTGGAATCTCCGACCAAGAACGACTCAAGCACAACGACGTCCGCCGGAGAAGAAGACAGCTTCGCGGTCATGAACTACACTATGATTCCGACGATCACTGTCGACGCAGCCGCGGACGAAACCACCGCTGCTACGAATCACCTGACAGCTACGACTCCGCCTGCAAATACGCGCGCGATGGAACCCGATTCCGTTATCGCCACAGTCGCGATAACCACCGATCACGTGGTCACAGTTAGAAACGGCTCTGCGGATGATCACATGGCCGTGCTTCCGGAGACTACCGTCGATACCAGCGGCTCTGAACTCACGACTACTGTCGAAACCGCGGCTGCCGAAGCTGAAGTCACTCCCACGGTTGCCAATCACTTCACGGAGGAACAGACGACGGCGCCAATTCCGGAGACTACCACCTGGACGATGACACCGACTGAGATTGTGACTGCGTCCGCGACAGATGCAGACACGACAATGACGGACGCGGTAATCGTGACTGAGTCCATCAGGGTAACCATTCCGGCGATCAGCGATCGCCCGGACGCAGTCACGACGCCTGCAAGCGCGTCCATAGTTGATTTCGCGATTGCCGACAATTTGTCCACCGATTCTGAGAATCCTCTGGAGACTTCGTCTCAAGTTTCTGTTATAAACGCGGACCTGACTACCATGAGATCGATCTCAACAACCACAGCGACACTCTCCGCGACCGAATCGTCCACGATAACTTTCGTAGCTCCGACGGCTCGTAACATCGATGCTAATGTCGAAGCACCAGCCGCCACAGAGATCTTGGAGTCCACACACCCTACTGAGACTTCTATGTTTGAACCCTTCCCAACATTAGCCGTAACGATGATCGCGAAATCCTTCGCTTCTACCGATCCCGAAACGCTTTTCACTCAGACCGATGAAACTCCCACGACGGTCACTCAGATTTCTTCGACGCTTTTCCCGGTTGCCAACACGACGACTATGGCTCTCGAAGAGTCCACGATTCTTCCGTCGACTCCTGCAATCTCTCATGAATCGATCGCGACAAATACGATACTTGAAACAACCGAGGAAAGCGCGTATGAAACGAGTTCCGCGAGAACGACGAACAAAGAGTTCACCAGGTCGGTCTTAAAGACGATTCCTGAAGAAGTAACCGCGAGACCAGCGCGAAGTCGAACGAGAGGCCAAACGAGATTCAACCAAACCGACAAGACCTCTACGACGGTTACTCAGACTTCTTCGACATCCTTTCCAGTTGCCGACACGGTGATTGTAGCTGTCGAAGAGTCTACGATTCTTCCGTCGACTCCTGCAATCTCTCATGAGTCGATCGCGACAAATACGATACTTGAAACAACCGAGGAAAGCGCGTATGAAACGAGTTCCGCGAGAACGACGAACAAAGAGTTCACCAGGTCGGTCTTAAAGACGATTCCTGAAGAAGCAACCGCGAGACCAGCGCGAAGTCGAACGAGAGGCCAAACGAGATTCAACCAAACCGACAAGACCTCTACGACGGTTACTCAGACTTCTTCGACATCCTTTCCAGTTGCCGACACGGTGATTGTAGCTGTCGAAGAGTCTACGATTCTTCCGTCGACTCCTGCAATCTCTCATGAGTCGATCGCGACAAATACGATACTTGAAACAACCGAGGAAAGCGCGTATGAAACGAGTTCCGCGAGAACGACGAACAAAGAGTTCACCAGGTCGGTCTTAAAGACGATTCCTGAAGAAGCAACTCCGAGACCAGCGCGAAGTCGAACGAGAAGCCAAACGAGATTCAACCAAACCGACAAGACCTCTACGACGGTTATTCAGACTTCTTCGACATCCTTTCCAGTTGCCGACACGGTGACTGTAGCTGTCGAAGAGTCTACGATTCTTCCGTCGACTCCTGCGATCTCTCATGAATCGATCGCGACAAATACGATACTTGAAACAACTGAGGAAAGTGCGTATGAAACGAGTTCCGCGAGAACGACGAGCAAAGAGCCTACCAAATCGGTCTCAAAGACGATTCCTGAAGAAGCAACCGCGAGACCAGCGCGAAATCGAACGAGAGGCCAAACGAGATTCAACCAAACCGACAAGACCTCTACGACGGTTATTCAGACTTCTTCGACATCCTTTCCAGTTGCCGACACGGTGATTGTAGCTGTCGAAGAGTCTACGATTCTTCCGTCGACTCCTGCGATCTCTCATGAATCGATCGCGACAAATACGATACTTGAAACAACTGAGGAAAGTGCGTATGAAACGAGTTCCGCGAGAACGACGAGCAAAGAGCCTACCAAATCGGTCTCAAAGACGATTCCTGAAGAAGCAACCGCGGGACCAGCGCGAAGTCGAACGAGAGGTCAAACAAGATTCAGCCAAACCGACAAAACCTCTACGACGGTTACCCAGACTTCTTCGATGCTCTTCCCGATTGCCAACACGGCGACTGTGGCTCTCGAAGTATCCACGATTCTTCCATCGACTCCTGCGATCTCTCATGAATCGATCGCGACAAATACGATACTTGAAACAACTGAGGAAAGCGCGTATGAAACGAGTTCCGCGAGAACGACGAGCAAAGAGCCTACCAAATCGGTCTTAAAGACGATTCCTGAAGAAGCAACCGCTGGACCAGCGCGAAGTCGAATGAGAAATCAAACGAGATTCACCCAAACCGACAAAACCTCCACGACAGTCACCCAGACTTCTTCGATGCTCTTCCCGATTGCCAACACGGCGACTGTGGCTCTCGAAGTATCCACGATTCTTCCATCGACTCCTGCGACCTTCCACGAGTCGATCGCGACAAATACGATACTTGAAACGACTGAGAAAAGCACGTATAAGACGAGCGAAGAGCCCACCAGGCCAGTCCTGAAAACGACTTCCCAGGAAGCAACCGCAAGAGCCGCGCCAAATCGAACGAGAGGTCGGACAAGATCTGAACTAGCCGCGATCGGTCACCAGTTCGGCCGAAGAACCGTTGCACGAACCGTTGTTCATCGTCGTGTTATAAAACGGCCAACCGATGAAGACATCGAGCCGTCCACGACGAAGCAGCCGATCAGGCAGTATCCTCGACGTCGAATCACGGTGTATCGTGGCCGACCACGAAGACCGACCTACAGTCATCCCTCAAGCGTATTCGAGAAGAATCAAAGAAGAAGAGTCGTCCAGAAGAGACTACGAGGTAGCTTCCAAATGCTCAACAGCACCGCCAGATCCGACGAGAACGTTGTCGATGTTCGGGACAGCTCTGAAGAACGCGTTACGCATAATCGAGTGGAAGATATGGGCAGAAGAAAGAAAATAGTCTTAAAGAGAGTGAGGGAAAGAGAAGAAACGAGTGCTTCACCGGCGGAAGAAACGATGGTGCTTGGAGAATCGTCCAATTTGACGAAAGACTCAGAGCTTGGCGCTCATCCTGAAGACGGAAAGATGGGAAGAAGAAGGAAAATTATAGTGAAAAGAATAAAGTCTCAAGCCGAAGAAGGAAACTTGAAGAAGGAAGAAACCGGTAACGATATTGATTCTTCCACTGGAAGTCCGCCAGACGAATCGCAAAGCGATCTTCGGGGCGATCTTATTAAAGCAGAGAGGACGAGGAGGAAGATGAGAGTCGTACTGAAGAGACTCAAGTCCATGTCTGAGGAGGGACGAACGGAATCCGATTCCAGCGACGAGAATCGTACACACACTCATCTGACCAATCATCGCGCCAGCAACAGCTTTACCGAAGACGGAAACGCAAAAAGAAGAGCGAGAGTTGTGCTGAAGAGTGTCAGACCTGTCTCCAAAGAGAGCAACGCGACCGAGAAAGCAAGCAAAGCTGGCACCGACGACGAGACTCTTCAGGGCGGCTTCTCGAGCGGTGCTCGCGCCGGCAAGAGCCTCTTCGGCGAGAGTACAGGCAGAATAATGCGAGTCATCCTGAAGAGCGTCCGAGCCAAGTCCGAGAGAGAGGAGTCCGCAGCGAGCGAAGAAGCAAACGAAGATTCCGAGTCTAGCGACGATGATCTTCAAGGCAACTTCTCGAACAATCTTTACGTGAGCGACGATCATCCCGACGTCGATGAGACGAAGACGACGAAATCTGAACCAGGAGAGGAAGAAGTGGCGACGAGGGGTGAGCAGCTGGCGGAGGCGACGTCTGCTCGGGTCGAGGAGGACACTGATCGGCCCTCACACGAGGTCAGTGCCGCTTTAAAACCGGAGAGCCTTGACTTCCCGCCTTGACTGATCCGCTGTATAACACGCCGTAACTCCTTGACCGGGAAAGAGAGTCTAACGAGTCTAACGAGTCTAACGGGGAGCTGATGAAGACGAAAAATAACACCCCGTAGTCTTGAGACTAGCTCCCTACCGCAAGTACCGCCGCTGCTTCTAGTCGTTAACCGAAAGAGATCTCTCGCAACGCACAATCAACCGTCGTCGTCTCGGCTTGAGAAGGGCCAAAGGGAACACCCAAATTCCCGGAGAGACGCTTCTCGCTCGGCGTAAAGTACCTTCCTCTCTCTCTCTTTCTCTCTCTCTCTCTCTCTCTCTCTCTCTCTCTCTCTCTCTCTCTCTTCCTCTGTGGGATCTGCTGCTGTACTTGCCCGAGACCGCTTTCGGTATGTCCAGTTGGGCTACGCCTCGACGCCTATAATTTGCCGCCGTCGGCAAGTGGAAGCTAACGTAAGAGAGCGCAGCGTCGGAAGATCGCTTAAAATAATACCGTCTCTCGCATATCCGGCTGGCTGCCATCATCATGAGCGAGGCGACGTACTCCTCTCTCACCCTCTAGTCTGTCTCTCACGCTCACTCACACGTTTAACCGAAATAATCCATGCATCGGGGGGGCCGGACCCGGAAGGAGCGGCCGATTCGGACGAGGAGCCGATCTCCGCAACTTCGCTAGCTTTGCCCGTGAATGCCTGCTCGCTGGACGACGAGATCCCCGTCGTCGTCGTCGTCGCCTCTCTCTCGCTCTTGATCTAACCGAGACGCCTCTCTCGAGAGCACGACAAACGGAGCTACGTGACCGCTCTCTTGCGCACCTTGCGGCTACGTAGAAAGCCAAGTCATCATCATCAGCATCATCGCATTGCCTGCCTGTGAGGACGCCTGCGTAGCGCACTGCTCTTCTCTTTCTACGGCTATCCGAGATACCTCTTCTACTTCGGGACGGAGCACGGAAGCAAACTCGGGGGATCGGACCTGATCTTTCTCTGTCCTTCTCTCTGTCTCTGACACGCGAACGGACCTGAAGACTGCTCTCCGCATCTTCGTTCGCGCAACCACTTCTCTTCATCAACGATTAACAAACTTTTTTCCGAGAGGCGTGCGCGTGCGACCACTTCGCTTACTCTGGCGTGTGTCTTCAACATATCTTTGTCTTCAACGTCTATCTACTCAATCTATAAGCTTGCTTTCAAGTTCGAGCGCGACGAACGCGTATGTGCGTTCGCCAGCAGAGTCGAGATATTTCATAATTAATACATCGATAACCCGATAATGCAATTCGATACGCGTGCTGTATTAAAAAAGGGGGTTCAGGACTTTAAGGACTTTAAGGTAGTACTCACAAAACGGAGAAAAGAGGTTCTGATAAACATGGGTCGAATAATTAATATTGTCGGAGTTGTGAACAATTATTTATTTCAGTTAAAGTAAGTGACTTACTCGCTTCTGGTGCACTTTTGATCATACGTGAAACGCATCTCTGCCATTTTCTGATTTCTTATTACCGTGACTTACTGTGATAATTTTGCGATAGCTCTCTGCAATTGTTTACCGTTCACGACTGCGTGACTAACCATCGTTTGGTGAAGCGTGTGTATAGATGGAAAGAAAATATTAGGAGCGTAATTTAGTTTTGAGGGGTTTTTCTTCCTAAAAACTGATCTATTTAAACAAAATAATAAAAACAAATATCTTAATCAAAATATTTTCCTTCGTTTTCTACAACTTTTTCCAATCTTTCTGAGAAGAGGTGAATTCCGCGACGATAAAAAGATTCTTCTTTAAAGTTGATCTAATTTTCAACCAATTTTCGCACTCGTTCCAAGTTATGAAAGTATGTATCTGGAGCAAGGGTTCCCAACCGGCGGTGCGAAAAAACGTTCTTAGGGGTGGAAAAGTGATTGTAATTAATAATGATTAAGATGAATTCTGGAATAATCCGGTATTTTTACCATCAAATAAAAAAAAATGTTATTGAAATTATATATTTTTTACGTATCTGTACGTATATATTCATTACGTATCACTATACGAAGCTTGATACCATGGATAATAACTTTATAATATTAAAATGATAGTTAATTTCTATAAACAATACTATGTAATAAATTATTATAAATTAACTTCTTACCTTAAAACCCTAACAACTAATTTTTGCCATAAAACATACGAATAATTTTTTTCTGTAAAGGGCGCGAGGGTTCATTAATTTTTAGGAGTGCGAAATACAAAAAAGAGATATACTGTAGAATACGCGGGATGCGGTAAGACTTCCCATTCCAGCTCGAACAACTGGAATAGTTTGCTTCACTGATGATGTAACATGAGGTCGAGCATTGTCATGAAGAAGAATCACTTTGCGTCGTTTACTCGCAATTGGTGATCGTTTTTGGTCCAATGCTCGCTTCAATTTGTATAATTGTTGTCGATAACGATCAGCGGTGACAATTTCATTCGGATTTAACAGTTCATATCGCGCCTCGAAGTGAATGTTGCTAGTTGGATTAATCCATGATTTTTTTCGTTTGGGAAATCGAAATAGATCCATTATTCATCTCCAGTAACAATTAAATACAAAAACTCTTCATTTTTTGTCTGGCGATCAACGAAATACAATGTTCAACCGATTCGCAATGTATTTTCCGACAATTCATGTGGAACTCATTTTTCTTCTCTTTGTGAATCTTTCCCATATCATGTAAACGTTTAGTAACTGTTGTATATTCAATGCTCTAGCAAGTTCTGAAGTGGATTGTGCTGGATTTTCGCCCAATAATGCTTGCAAATCTGCGTTTTCAAGCTTTTTTGCTTGCCCCGAGCGATCTTTGTCATTAATATTGAAATCATCACATTTGAATCGTCTAAACCAGAGCTGGAGACGATCTGCACATTTCGGGCAAAATTCAAGAGGTGACATCCACCGTCCCCCTGCCACCGCTCCGCGCTCAGCGGCCGAGGCGACGACTGCGATACTTTCAGGTCTGTCGTTATATAAGAAAACAGCTGGAGCGCACCCTCGCGCCATACTATCATTGACATTTCTTCCTCGTTTAATAATCACTTTAATAATATTAATAAAATTATAAAAATGATTTATAATAAATATTTAAAGTTATTAAAATATTTAATTTATAAATATATTTATAATGTTTATAAAATATATATAAGTAATTATTATTAATTAAATAATTATTAATAAATTATTTTAATGATCAATACAAAAAAAATTTCAAAATTCACCATTTTTCTTTAATTTATTTAATTCATAAGTTAATTACAAACATAATTATAAAATAAATTAAAATTTATAAAAAATATTATTTTATATAAAAAAAATATATATATATAAATAACGCATAAACATATATATTTTAAAGTGATTATTAAACGAGGAAAAAACTTTAATGACAATATGACGCGAGGGTGCGTTTAACTGATTTCTTATACAGCGACAGATCTGAACGCACCGCGATCGTCGCCTCGGCGTCCGTTGAGCGCGAAGCGGTGGCAGGGGGACAGTGGATGTCACCTTTTTGAATTTCGCCCGAAATGTGCAGGTCGTCTCCAGCTCTGGTCTAAACCAATATTCACTTATCTTAAATGATGGAGTAACACAAGCTTCCATCAGAATTCTACGACCTTCAGCCGCCGTTTTTCTGATTAAAAAACGAAAGCAACGCATGTCGAAAATGTTCTTTAGGAAACTTCATTCTTAAGATGGTATTAACTGGTGGATTTTTATTGCGTCTATTGTTAATAAATGACTAAATATCATGGATTAATATTAAAGCATTAAGAAACAATAGCTGTGATTGGAAAGTCTTCGACAAAATTGACATTAGTGCAATCTTATGCAAAACCCTCAAAACTAATTCACATTCCTAATAAATATTTACGTCCTGAACAAGAGCGAAGAGGCCTTTTTAGAGATTCCTTTAAAGCATGGCGCTCTCTTCGCCGATAAATGACATAGACAAATTAGATTAGAGAATACAAAAGCGAGTAAGCGCAGAAGCGAGTAAGTCGCTTGCTTTAACCAAAATAAATAATCCTTCACAACTCCGACAATATTAATTTTTCGACTCATGTTTACGCGGATTTTTTTCCTCCATCTTGTGAGTACTATCTGCCAACAAAATCCTGAACCTTTTTTTTTTTAAACACTTTTTATAAACCGATTGCTCGATGAACAGGCAAGTACCTGGAAGAACGACGCTGTCGTATCCGTAAGTCGCAAATCAACCATCGGGCGCTCCACCAGGCAGAGGGTACCAACTACACACTCCACTACGCTCCCTCCGGTAACCAACACCCTGTCTAATACAGCGACCGTATACCGAAGAAGCAGGCCCTTCGCGAGCAGCGCATTGTCTCCGAGGATAGATGTTGTCGGTAAGTTCAACGAGAATCGACATTAGGTAGCCGAAAAAGTACGTGCGGTTCTTGTTTGAGTTTGATGCAATAAATTGTCGGATCTTACAGAGACTTGTTGGATACGCATGCAAACTTGTCGACGATCTATGCCATTATCATATAGCACAGATTTGCGCGAGTCAATTGGTGAACTTTATTGCGGCATGGTCTTTTGGTTTGCGATTATTCGCCCTTTTAAAATGTCTGTTCTGAGTTGAGTGCAAACCGAGCATGTTTGCTTTATGAATTGAAACTTGGGTCGAAAGCTGCAAAAGTATGTTGCAAGGTATGCGTAACGTCTGGAAAAGATATGCTAAGAGAACGGACTGCACAGAAGTAGGTTAAAAAATTTCCTTCCGGCGGTATATCACTCGAAGATGCACCACGTTCAGGAAAATCTTCCATAAATACTTGATAACGAAGAATTATCAATTATTTATTCGTATGTCAATTATAATATCTTTTCTGAAAATTTCTGCCTTGTTTAATTTTTAACCCTTTGAAGCATACATTTTTCCCCACGCGTAATTTTCACCGAACTCCCCTATAAAGGGTTTTTCAATCCGCTGAATACGAATCTGAGGTCAAAAATTAGAATTTTTCAAAATTCAAGATGGTGGATCGAAATATTCAAAATTAGACTGATTTACATTAAATTGTGTATACAATTGTGTACACAATTTGATGCCAATCGGTCTAATTTTCACAATTTGATCCGCCATATTAAGTCTGCCATCCTAAGTTTTTCAATTTCGACTTCAGATCCGTAATCAGCGATCCCGAAAACCTCCGGATATACAGTTTGACATGAATTGGTTTAATTTTCACGATTTCGATCCGCCATATTGTGTCCGCCATCTTGAATTTGGGAAAACACAATTTTGATCTCATATTCGTAATTAGCGGCCTCGAAAACCCTCGGAAAACAAATTTAAGGACATATTATCAAGCCGAGATCCTTAGTTACGATAGATTTTATGCAATCTAGATTTTTTTTCAAAATTGGAACCACCATATTAATACAAGTTTTGAGAATTTTGAAATTTCGACTTCATTTTCAGAAGCAGCGATGTCCAACATCTCAGAGTACATACTATTAGAAAAATAAGAAGTGAAGAAATATTTTTTTATTCAGTTCGACGAGGTGTGATATGTCACACCTCGTCAAACTGATGTGATTATATGTCACACCATGCTTCAAAGGGTTAATATACAAAACCGCACCAACTTTTTTCGTTACCTAATATTGTCGCGACTCCACCTTATTGTTGGACTCCCTCATGAGAACGAGCCTCGTGTTGGCGCTGCTTTCAGATCCGTACGAGGTCACCGAGTCGTCGTACGTGCGATCCGCCGGAGTCGAGATCGATCAAAGAGCGGACGTGTCCGATCAGAGCACCCGCGCCCAAGAACTCGCGGTAACGCTGGCGGACCCACCATCCTCCTCCTCATCGTCGTCGGACACTGGTACATTATAATTGCTAGAGTCCACGCCACCCGACTATCTAATTCTTCTAATCTAAAGTCTCTCTCTCACACACACGCGCTCGAGCTTCATCCTCCTCTTCATGGACCACTTCATGGGGGTTTTGTTTGCTACACGCTATGTTTCGCCTAACGAGAGACATCGGACGTTTCTTCCGTAGAAGAAGCGGCTCACCCAATCATCTCTCCTCGACATCGCCGAGTCTTATCGCAATTTCTCACCAGACAGTGACACACTAATTGACTCTTTCTCTCTCTCTTTCTCTCTCTTTCTCTCTCCAAAGTCGTGCAATTCCATGTGACATATCTCGATCGACTAGTACCTACATTGCGCAACGCACTCATGCGTCTCTCTCATGATTTTTGTTTCATCAGCATCCGTTTTTTGTTCTTTCGTTAAATCTCTCTCTCTCTCTCTCTCTCTCTCTCTCTCTCTCTCTCTCTCTCTCTCTGTCTCTCTCTCTCTGTCTCTCTCTCTCTGTCTCTCTCTCTCTGTCTGTCTCTCTGTCTCTCTCTCTGTCTCTCTCTCTGTCTCTCTCTCTGTCTCTCTCTCTGTCTCTCTCTCTGTCTCTCTCTCTCTCTCTCTCTCTCTCTCTCTCTCTCTCTCTCTCTCTCTCTCTCTCTCTTCAAGAACGTAGTCATACGTACGACCATGTGCGGATCTCTTCTTCATTCGTCTCAACATTCGCTGTTTGCACACTAATGCATATCGTAATAACTCGTACGCACCATCAATCTCGTTTCTCTCTCTCTCTCTCTCTCTCTCTCTCTCTCTCTCTCTCTCTCTCTCTCTCTCCTTCTCACAGTCGTCGAAACGTATTCATGTAGAGTCACGTTCATTCCCGGCTGCTTTACTAAGCAATTAATTACTAATTACTGAACTCATGCCACCACCGACAGAATAGACAGTACATGGCATGAATCCTTCGGCGGATTCGGAAAGGATCTAAATGTTTGGTTGGTTGGTTGGTTGGTTGGTTGGTTGATTAAAGGATCGACCTTCTCAGGAATAATCGCTTCAAACTGCGCTCATCTTGAATCGTATGCCAACGAATGGCAGGTCTGGTAGAGCACGACCGTATTGGCGGGTGCCCCTGACAATATTCCTGATAAGGTTGCCGAGATACCTCTCTTCGTCCTCCAGCAGTCCTCCGTGCAGCCGCTGACTCTCATGATCCGGTTGTCCTGTGTCTTATTACTAATCGAATCTCGCTCATCACTCTTCCGCCCTACTTCGTGTCACTTTCTCTCTCTCTCTCTCTCTCTCTCTCTCTCTCTCTCTCTCTCTCTCTCACGCCCGGGGAATCAGTCTCTCATCAACGTGACCCGCTTACGCCCCCAAGCAGCGATACGTCGACTAATCAGCTTCCACGACTGATCAGGTCGCACACCGTTAAGGGACGCCGTAAGGCGCAAGATAAGCACCACCATAGCACCTAGAATCGATCCTACTCCGGCGAGTAGGACGGTTTCAAGGTACGACGGCGTCTCGAGGAGCCGGCAAGGGTCCAAGACGAAGGACAAGCCTACGGTGAATGCGACCGCGAGGCCCAGGAGACCGCCGGTCGTCGACTACGATTATTATGAGGACGAGGTGCCGATTGTCGCCGGCAAGTCCTTCCTTGACAGCAAACTCTTCCTCACGAGCAAAGGCACGATACGCTGCCTTGACCAGGGTAACTTTCCGCACCCGTACTCGTGCAAGAAGTTCATCACCTGCGCTCGTATGGTGAACGGCCAGGTGATCGGGACTGAATATACCTGTCCAGCCAAATTGTCCTTCGATCCGGTCGGCGGTATCTGCAATTGGTCCGCCGGTCTCGGCTGCAAGGACTGACCGCGGTTACCTAGGCTACTCGACAGTCGTGTCTTCATACATACACTTCGAGCGTGAGAGATTTACCGGAGGACCGGTCGCACCGATCGCGTAGTTTTCGTTCATCGACGAGATCAAAATCCTGACTATACTCGAGCGGCACATTCTCTTGGCTCATTTCCGCCACTCGCGCGGGAAACATCCCCGGCGAAGCACACGCGGTTGTCGAGTAGTCGAGATCACCGTCGCGAGACGTTCTTCTGCGAAAGTCTCGGACCCTTCTGGCGAGAGATCGATTCGCACAAATTCTACCTTAACTCACCGCCTTTTTCGTCGAGGTTTATTATTTTAGGCTTCAACTCCACCGTCGTTAATCATTCGCGTGGCATAACTTTGGGTTATTCTTTCGGGGAGACTCGACAAGCGATCAACGAAGAGACCGTATCTTCCCTGTTCTCTTCTACCGTCCCGAAAACGATCTTTTCACCCATCCGAACATCTCTATGGTCCGACGGGTGCAACGCTGCAGTCCAAGATAAAGGCGCGACAATGAGTTTTTTAACATTATTACTTCCCTAATGCAACGATAGTTTTGTCCTTGAGAAAGTAACCCAAAAATTGGCCCGTTTTGGGGCCCTCGATTTTTTAAGTAAATCGCATGTCGTTACCTTATAATGAGGTATGAATCCTCACAAATTTTTATCTTAAGGTGACAATTAGTTTCTGAGATAAAGAGGGTCAAAGTTCAACAGCGATAAAGCTTATGTTCTTCAATGCACAATGTTTTTGACACTTTGAAAACTCAAGATAACGTATCCTAAGATTTTTTGAGTTGCCAATTACGAATCTAGAGTCAAATTTCTTCAAAAAAAAAGAAATTCAAGATGTCTGATCCAATGTGGCGGACCTTATCACAAAAAATGATACTTATATTGTGAGATCCATTTTAATGGCACAGTATTATCTATCTTGAGGTTATTTTCTACAAGTCGAACTTCAAGTCAAAGAGAAATTTAAAATGACTGATCCAATATGGCGGACCTTATCACAAAAAGTACATTTAAATATTATGGAGTTTGGTTTAATGGTTCAAGAATATTTATCCTGGATTTTTTCAGGCGCTGATGGCTAGTGTCAAGTTAGATTTTAGAAATTCAAAATAGCTGATCCAATATGGCAGACTGTTGATGAAAAAATGATTTTCTTATCTTGAGCCATTAAACCAAACATCATAATAATTGAATATATTTTTTAAATGAGGTCCGCCATATCAGATCAGCCATCTTGAATTTTTTTTAGATTCGTAATTGCGATCCAAAAAATCTTAGGTTATCTTAGGACGTTATCTTGAGTTTTCAAAGTATCAAGAACACTGAACGCTTCGAAGAACATGAGCTTTATCGCTGATGAACTTTGACTCTCTCTCTATCTCAGAAACCAATTGTCATCTCAAGATAGAAATTAGAAAGGATCCATACCTCATTATAAGGTAACATTTGGCATATGATTTATTTAAAAAATTAAGAGCTCCAAAACGAGCTAAAAAAACCTTTTTTGGGTCACTCTTTCTCTTCGATACGGGCTCTTCGTGAGAGCCGATCGCTGGTACGGTCGCTGGTACCCTACAAAGCGGGCTATTTTTCCGGCTGATTATATTCCAACGATACATGAAACTTCTTCTTGTACGATCGTGTAATAGCCATATAAACGAGCGAACACGCGCATTGCGGTGATATTATCGTTAAAGTCTCTATATGTAAATATTACATAGTGTTACATAGTGTAAATAGCGTGTAAGGTAACGTTCTTCTCTTTCTTCTCGCGCGTGGCGTACCGGCGAGCGCCAGCTCGCTTGTATAAAATTCGCTTTCGCAGTGCGATCGTCAATAAAGCCTCTTCTCTCGAATTTCGCGCGAGATACGCGCACGCGACGAGCAATACAAATAAACACTTTACATAAGAAAGCTCCGCTGTGTGAGAACGTAGCGTAACATTCGACTCGATTCCATCGAGTCCGCATGTATCGGAGATTTTTGTACTTGGAATAAAAGCATCGTTTAACCAGCAACATGAGAGTCTTTGCGTATTCCTCGTAGCAGCTGAAGTTAAAACAGAAGCAACTCACTGCCGACATGATGGGAGCACAGGGTGGTATCACAGACTTTTATAGTATTAAGGAGATCTTGGAGTCGTCTGTTTTATCGACATATTGATTCAATCTTCTCAAACACTATTCTCTTTATTAGCTATACAGATTGAAAAATCCTTTTGTACAGCGAAAGTACTTATAATAACGAAGTCTGGAAAGCAGAGTTTTGTAAAATAATGTAAAATTCAATGAAAAATTAAAAAATTACAGTTTCGTTATCATGTTCTGCATCAGCTCGTAACTTTACTTATTAATTATAACAGTTCTGCAGTTTGTCCTTGCGAAAGCTTTTGCTTCCATACTAGCCATAATATGAAAGAATAATACTAAAGTAACAGAAATGAGCTCAGAAATTAGTGTAAAATGAATAGTATTTGAGAAAAAATGGCTTGGATATGTGTGTGTGTAAGCGGAATATTTTTGCTACACTTTGGGGTAAAACAGAACAGTAGATTAGTTCCACGTAATCGTAATCGATGGAGCTGCAGGCAGACACAATCGTACTATCCTTGTTTATTTCATGCGTAGAGTAATATTATGACAATGAAACTGTAGTTGTTAAATTTTTTGTCGAATTTTACATAAAACTCTGCTTTCCAGACTTCGTTATTATAAGTACTTTCATTATGCAAAAAGATTTTTCAATCAGTGCAGCTAATAAAAAGATTAGTGGTCGAAACTCTCTCGTATCTTTGTTCCCTCAATTGCACGCTCATTAAGCCGCGTTTACAATCAGTCGGAAGACTTTATCGTATGTCGCACGTATGTCGTATGTACCAATCACAACTTCACATGTGGTGTCTTCAATAAAATTACGTTTAAGTTAAATTAGCTACATATACATATACAGGGTGTTTGATAGCTGATCATGCAGACGAAAGTTGGAGATAGATTGGGTGTAGCCGAGAACAAAAGTCATATACCATAATGTCAAATTGCCAATAGTTATCGAGTTATTAATTAAAACATGTGAGCCAATGAGCGCGTAGAGAGCGGAGGGCGACCACAGTAAGCACGTAGACATTTGATACAGGTGGAGTCAACGAGTGACGGTAGACGAGCGCGCGCGGCGAGGGGCAACGTAAACGACAAGAGGCGAGCGCGCGCGACGAGAGCGAGCGAGCGCGAATGACGAGGAGCGAACGAGCGCAAGCGACAAGAGGCGAGCGAGCGCGACGAAGAACGAGCGAGCGCGAACGACGAGGAGCGAGCGAGCTATAAGAAAAAAGCTATAAAGAAAAAGTTCGCTCACTCCTCGTCGCGCGCGATCGCCTCTTGTCGCTTACGTTGCCCCTCGCCACGCGCGCTTGCCTATCGTCACTCGCTGACTCCGCCTGTATCAAATGTCTACGTGCTTACTGCGGCCGCCCTCCGTTCTCTACGCGCTCGTTGGCTCACATGTTTTAATTAATAACTCGATAACTATTGGCAATTTGACATTATGATACATGACTTTTCTTCTCGGCTACACCCAATCTATCTCCAACTTTCGTCTGCATGATCAGCTATCAAACACCTTGTATATACTATATGTTTTCATAATGGGTGCGTTCAGCGGAGAAAACCGCTCAGTGAGCGATTAGTGACTATTGGTCCTTAAGGCTCGTCTACATTAGCTGTAAGAGTAAGGCTGTAAGGTTGCAAGACATGAAATGAAATATTTTCATTCACTGACAGCTTACGTTACAGCCTTACAGCCTTAGGGCCAGAGCACAGACTTCTGCATAACGCATAATACACAACGCATAAGAGAATCAACCGATCAGAGTTCTTCATTTCTATCCTGAGGAGGGAAATGAAGAAAACTAATTGGTTTATTCTCTTATGTGTTACGTATTATGTGTTATGCAAAAGCCTGTGCTCTTGCCCTTACTCTTACAGCTAATGTAGACGAGCCTTTACATTCAGACCAATAACATTGATGAATTACTCTACAGTTGTGCAACTGTTAAGTGTTGTGAACGCACCCAATGTATATTTTCACAATATACGTGGAAACGTGTTTATATGTACATATCGATAAATGTCGATAACGAAACTGTAAGTGTCGGTATTATCGACATTATTAGTTCCGCTCAGATGAGGGCGCAATCGCGTTGAAGTTCGGTCGCCGCTCCAGGATCCCTTTAAACCAAAATGCGCATATATCGTACGATACAACACCTTCGCCGAGAAAGGAACAAATCGATTCGCACGCTCTTATGCAATGTTGACATATAGCTATTAAAAAGAACATATAGTTTGGCGAAAGGTCCAACATAACCTTCAAAAGTATTCAGTTCAGTACAGTCGAAAATGGCAACAGATAAGGTGCATATCCGACACTGCATTCTTTACGAATTCCAACAAGGAAAAAATGCTGCAAGAGCATGCGAATTTGCAGCATTTGCCATTTTCGACTGTACTGAACTGAATACTTTTGAAGGTTATTTTGGACCTTTCGCCAAACTATGTTCTTTTTAATAGCTATATGTCAACATTGCATAATCACAAAAGAGCGGGAAAATCTATTCAATTTCAAATTGTTTTCATAACTGCTTAAAATAATTACGATAAAATAATACGATGGGTGAAGACAATTTAATAAACGACATCTGTATGAATCTTCAAACGAAAGGCGATACAACGAAGGACGAGATATTCCTATTGCCAGGAATCGAAGGTTGTGGAAATATTTTCTATTCTTTGGCGCCGAAAATTGAAGCACCAGCAACATGCTTACAATATGGGACATACAATATCGACAAAAATTGTAACACAGTAGCCGATATCGTTGATAGTATCTTCAAAGTATGAATCTTTCACTTCAATATAGTTATATAGCATAAAATACAAATAAAATTACATTGTAACACAATATAACCTTATGCAATATTAATTCCCTTTTTAACTACTATTATATTTCATCTTCTTCTCTGCGCTTTCAGCATATGATACAAAGAATCAAATCTAAGCAAGATTTCCTTATAATCGCCTATTCGTATGGAACGTTAATTGCGATCGAGTTAACAAGAAGGTTGGAAAATATGCACTTCCAAGGCCGATTGGTGTTCATCGACGGCGCACCTGAACAGTTAAGAGCATTGTTAAATCAAATTATATTTGGCGCTACAACTGAGGAACTTGAGAATAATATTCTTCTAAGTATAATGGATATTTTAGAGCCAACGATTAGTGGAAAGGTATTTATTATTATAAATATTATTTGTAAACGTGAGTTTCTCCGGAAAAAGTCAAATAATCTACTTATCTTGCAGCTTTTCCTGGAACTGAATAAACTTATTAACTGGGACGATAAGCTAAATATGTTTGTAAAACTTCTTCCTCCGTTATATATGAAATTCTCTGCCGAATCTATGAAGTCTCTATGTTTAACAATTTACAAACACGTGCAAGCATTATATAAGTATAACATAACGGAATTACCGAAAATTACGTCACCCGTAATACTTCTTAAGCCAACCACAATGTCGCTGAATTTTCCTCATGAGGATTATGGCCTCCATAAGGTATATATCATATAAAATTTACTACGATCAAAATTGTTTAATTCACACGGAGGAATTTTATTCAACGGAATAATTTTCAGATTACCACTGGAAATGTGCAGGTGCATTATATCGAAGGAAATCACTTTTCGATATTGTACAACGACAAAGTTGTAGCTACTATCAATGGGCAATATATTGATGTAATATATTGGTATATTAATAATGGAAAACAATGATTTATAATATATAATATTATAATAATATATGTTAAATATAAGAATTAAAGGGTTAATATAAAAATTAAAGAATTAAAACGTAGATTATCTGTTGTAGAAGGGTGAAATTTGAAAAAAAATACAACGGTCAGAATTTCTGACGTTAATATAAAATATTTCCTTTCATCTTGTACGGCTAAACCGCTGTATTCTTTTTTAATTCCACCCTCCTACAACAGGTAATCTACGTTTTAATCCTTTAATCTAAGTTTTAATTCTTATATTAATCCTTTAATTCTTTATTAAACTTTATTAATTCTCTAATTAACACTTGTTTGTAAAATGACAAAGGACTCTTTTAAAATGTAAATTACGTTTTAGAAGAGTCCTTTGTCATTTTACGAACAAGTGTTGTCCTTAATCGTCAGGCACATTGCACATAGAATTGTAATATGTGCGTGTATGTATACTATACACTATATACTCTATATTCTAATTTAATATATTAATAAATAAATACTTTCGACAGATACAGAGAGGAAAATCATGGTATGCTATTTACTGTTTCTTTTTTTCTTTCATGAATCTTTTAATTTCTATAATTAATTTGTAGATAAGATTAAATATTAAGAGGCCGATTTTAAGACTGTTTAATAATGCTTAAGAAACCTTCCTTTCTTGCCTTTTCAGAAAGTAAAGTGTACGATAAAACATTATCATTATTTGGACAGTAAACCAATTTGACATATCGTAATTTAAGAATATACGTAATTCAAGAGATAATATTAGGTGTACAAATGAATAATCTAAATTATTTTAATTAATAATAAATAATTTTAGACCAGTCGATTTATTTCCATACGCAACATCACCAGAGCGTAAATTCTCATTCTTCGCTTCTTCTCTGCTCAAACATTTCAGCAAGTTTGGCAAAAGTGAGATTCCGAATATCCTGGGCAGCTAAAAATATCCCATGCTCCCGTTCTAAGGTTTGTTTGGTTTCTACGACCATCATCGAGTCCATTCCAAGTTCAGACAGGCGTGCCTGAGCAGACACAGTGGTCAAATCCTTCACACCTGTCATATGTTAATAGTCATTCGTGATTAATAAATATAATGTAGTAACGTCCGAACTGCAAGAAGCACAAGTAGATGCAAAAATCGACTCACACAAACATTTGTACATTATATGCATTTCTGCTCCTCAAATAATAGTTAACAGTTAACTTTTTCCATCTCATTTTAATTAATACTTTTCACTTACTCATAATGTTGGCTACGGTGTCAATAACACTGATGGAACTAACAGCGCCCGAACGCTTCTCTGCCACAACCATGCTCGCCACTACTGGCTGCTTTTGTAAGAGGAATTCTTCCAGCTTCTTGATGCAGGAACTTATTTTCTGCTGCAATGTACCGCCAATGATCATTTCTTTGTTGTCCTCTTGCATGTCGGCTACAAAACCGACATCGCCGATGGCGCCCCATTGAATCGCCAATCCATGTAAGCCCTCCTGTGTTCTTCTCTCACAGATTCTTTCCATGATAGAATTTGCCATTCCGTAATTGCTCTGCCCGGCATTGCCTCTACCGCACGACACGGAGGAGAAGACGACGAAGTGACGTAGCTCAGGACATATGCATTTGGACAACTGATCCAAGTTCTTCGTGGTCCACGCTTTCGCTTTGAATGGTTCCTGGAATGTCTCTATCGTGTGATTCTGACAAATCTTATCGTTTAGTACAACAGCAAGATTGAATATGGCGTCTGTTGGCGCCAATTCCTCCGCTGTTCTCAATATGTACTCGCAATCTTTGATGTCTGATGCATCGACGTTCGATACGATTAATACTTTCACTCCGTAAGATTTCCACAGCTCAACCTTCATACGCTGATAACCGTTCTTTAGTCCAGTTCGTGAGATAAGCACGAGGTTCCTGGCACCACGAATAACTAACCAGTCGGCTAATTCCAAGCCGAAACCACCCAATCCTCCCAGGATAATGTATGACCTATTCGGTAGACAATAGTAACGCGGTAGGGCAAGCAAAGGCGTGTTCATGAATTTTTCCTCCTCTTGTATCTTTATAATTATCTGAAAACATCATATAAAACTTTTCATATTGTATTTCATATTGTAACACTATACCTTTTTTAACACTGTACATGACCGTTTATTATAACTAATGCCATTAGGAACATTTATCAATCATCTTACCTTTCCAATGTGTTTTCCAGCTGCCATGTACCTAAAAGCCGTTTCTATCTCGTCCTTTTGGAAAACTTTTCTAGTAATTGGCTTTATGGCTCCCTTTTTAAGACCTGCTGCTACTATCGTTTTTAAATTATCTTTCTGTTCGTTGCTGCTGTTAATAAGAACGTCTAACATTACACCGTAAAATGTAATCCCTTTCGAAAATACCGACATGTTCAATGTATTGTTAGACATCATATCGAATTTTCCGATTTCCAAAAATCGCCCATTTCTGGCGAGGCAACGTACAGACGCTTGAAGTTTATCTTCGGCTAATGAATTTAATACAACATCCACACCACGACCATTGGTCTGTTGATATATCATCTGTTCGAAGCTGATGTCGCGCGAATTCCCAATATGATCCTCCGGGATAGACGGGAAAGTATCTCGTATGAACTTTCGCTTTTCCAAGGTACCAACAGTGGTAAAAACTTCGCAACCATCATGAAGTGCAATATTGATAGCAGCTTGTCCTACAGCGCCGGTACCTGAGTGGATCAGTACTTTGTCGTTTTTCTTTAATTTTCCACGAAGGTACAATGCGTAGTAACATGTGGCATAAGCGCAGGGAACCGTCGCGGCGTCCTCGAGAGTCCATCCGTCCGGAATTTCCCAGGATAGATGTTGATCGAACACCCGCATATTTGATATGCACCTGAATAAAGAATTATATCGTTATTGCCTTATGACATCCTCTTGTCAATGTTACACGATTTATCAGTTACACACTTATTTTCGACCAGTCCCATTATTTTGCGTCCAGTATCGTCGATACCGACGTACTCGAAACCTAATACGCAGTCTTCCAGTCGTCCGCGAGACATATAATCATCCAAGTTAATTTTACCGCTTGCTAGCATTACATCCTTGAAGTTAAGAGAAGCGTAAATTATATTAACGAGATTTTCGTGCTGGTAATCCGGAGTGATATCGCCTTCAATCCAATGTAATGAAGTTAAATCTCCATGCACCTAAAAGTGATACAATGTTTAATACCATAAAAATGATACTTTGTTTAATTAAATATGATAAGTAACATATCTAGTGTAATAATTTTTTAACCATATGGAAATGGTAATTTAAGATATATTTTGTTTTGTCCGTCAGCGATATGTACCAATTGATTCATCAAGGCATGATGTACAAGCTTGTGTTTTAGGGGCTCCAACGGAAGATGTCTGTACGATCCCCATACTTTTTCGGGCCGTAAAACATTTATAACGAGATCCATCCGAAGTTGTTCCGTGTAGAATGGATCGTGCAATGAGAATTTCGGTGCGTTCTTGTCCTGAATGAACACTCCTCTAATTAATTCACCGCCCGGTTCTTTCCTCAGACAATTAACGAGACCCAGTAAGCCGCAATCAGTGTCCTTCTCTCCAACAATAATTATTCTCATACTGTTAGTCAATTCGTCCCCCGCGCTTAGAATTGATTTGATTTGTTTCAGCCAAGAGAATTCGTAATTGTTCACGTATATAACTTGCGTTTTATTCGTCGACTGACCTCTCTTCTTCAAGAGCGTTATAGACTCATTACCTGTCTGTTTCTCGAGTATTACCGCTAGGTTGTTCGCATCCGCGTAGGCAAGATCCGCTTTTGTGAGGGGTTGCCCACGTGTCAACAAAAAGCCGTCATCTCTTAATATTAATAAGATTTCTTTTAGGGTTTCGTTTTTGCTGCTCGTTAACAAATTACAGCCTGTGGCTAACATTATATTGTTTTTCGTCGATAGCTTCTTTGACTTTGTAATTACGATTTCTGAAGGAAGTTTAATGTCATCGAAACGATTAGTTCTATTTATCAAAGTAATATTAGGCTGAATAAGCGGTAAGTTCCCCAAAATTTGAGCAAACAGCGGAGAGGCTAATTCTTCTATTGAAATGTCATCATCATCTTCGAGTAGTTCGATAATGTCCACTTTGGTTGTTTGATGGTACTCCAGAACAAGATGTGTCGACAGAGTTATTCCAACTTCAAGAGAAACTTTTACTCCGTCTCGATGAGCTACAAATTTGTATTTTTCAAGGACAGGACTCCCCGTTACCTTCCGTCGAGGTATAATAGTGGCGGTAATGCCACGAATCTCCACACCACCAGATATTACTGTATTCAAATTTTTGTATACGTGCACAGCGAGTTCTGAGAATATTTGAACGTGTTTTACTTAGCTTGTATCATTTAATTAATTCATTTATATAATATATATATATCTTATAAGTGACATTCTAATTAGAATATTAATTATGAAGGAATATTTGAAAGAGAATATTACGGAGATTCCAGACAAGGGAACATCGAAAGAAATCTATATTTCTTTCATTCTATCTATATTTATTTATATTTATCTAGAAATCTGTCTACATTTATGTTTCATAGTCAATCTACCTGTATTTTCAGTCGTAGTATCTTTTAGATATTGCGCATGAAGCCTCGGATTGATCACCAATTTTTCTATCTCAGTAAGAACACGAGGACTTCTCGTGTCTGTCCCAAGGATCCTTATTTGGAGCATGTTATCCATAAACACTACCCAGTTGTTCATCCATTCTATGTGTCCTCGGCTGGCTGTAATGGATGCACTTCTTAAAGAACGAAACAGATCCGTATATTGATATCCGCGTAATTTAAGCTCCTTATATATATCTCTCGTTTTCATTATTTCTTTCTCGTTATCGTCTTCTTCTAGATAATCGATGGGCACATTTTCCTTGTCAAGATCTAGTGGAACACGTACCGTGCCAGTGACAATTGCGTTACCAT